GAACAAAAGTCAGCAATACCTGTCGCGTTAAAAACCTCCTTTTGTGGTGATGCGGAAGTCTCAGTCTTTCTCGGCGTATGGCCGCGTTTGTCTTCCAGATCATTTTCCCCTTGAATTTTAGTTCTTCCTCACCTTGATCATTTTTCTTTGTCCCTTTAAACAAATCTACGATCCTATCGATTACTACACGATAGGTTGAAAAGTTTGTCGAAGTTATAAAATGTAAGCCATGATTGAGAAGAATAACGCTGTTTTTGTCGTTCATGTGAGGCGAGTGAATGACATTTGCGATAGCTTCTAAAACTCGGGTTATATTGATAGGAAGAAAGTTCCTTTGGTTCATTTCCACGGTAGCGTTTTTAATTGGATAAATCCAGTTGTAAGAAAAGGTACAGCCTTTAAAAACTGTTTTGCAAAGAGGCGTCTTGCGGATAGAGCGATAAAATCTTCCTGCGTTTGAATCCCCATAAATCCACAGAATTCCCTTTCGATGCCTCGGCGAAGTATCCCGCCATAAGCCTGCGAAAAAAAGGAAAAGGATTTAAGGGTATAGATGTGAATGCATTTTAAGCATTTCTTTGTACATTGAGAGAGAAAAAAGACGCATGCAACGAAAACTGTGCGAGCCTATTATGATATAGTTTTGGATTACCATGTAGTCAAAGGAATGGATGTATTGCTTAGAAGAAAAATCCACCACATCTTAAAACTGATTAGTCCTGACGACAATGGCCATATAATTAAAGTTATGCTCATAAGCGTAATGTAGAAAGTAAGTTTAAGATTAAGTAGGTATGTAACGTTTTGGAATTAGTTAATAGTTCATTGTTGGAATTAGTAAACGGTCAGTCTTAAGCAGGAGGTCCGCTCTTAGTCTTGTCTAAAAGAATTAAAGAAATGTGAGGCTATTATAGTAGTGGACACAGCTTCTTCCAGCCTAAGAATCAACCTAATTACAGGCACGTCTTCTATCCAAAGAAAAGGAAGGTTTGAAATTGTTTATCTCGGCTTACAGTAGAACCCCGCCTTACGGCCACCTCGATAATACGGTCACCTTGTTATTATGGCCACTTCTTTTCGACCCGGCAAAACGGTCACACATTTCCTTAACAAAAAAAAACGTTTGTGCGGTCACCCGTTAATACGGCCAACGCCAACATTTTAATATCCCAAACAGTAGAATCTCTTATAATTTCACCCCGTTAATACGGACACTTCTTCGAAATTTAGAAAATTAAAATGCCTGTGACATGTCAATTTTATTGACCTAGTACTCTGAGCCTACTTTTGTACTGTTTTTAGACTACAGTACACACAAAGTGCACTTGTTGCGATTTTATAGCTAAGTTTTGAAAGTGTTTTATTTACTAAAGGAAAATTTTAAGTAGTTTTTTCAATTACTGTATGAGATATCTTCACTGCGGTTGTTTATCAATGCGAACAGTCGTTCAAGAAATGCAAATGCTATATACGGTGTACTCAGGTCATTACGGTTCTCAAGTCATGGAATTTGAGCCTGCGCCGATAATACGGCCACCCCGTTAATACGGCCAATTTTTTTTGACCCATTGGTGACCGTATTAACGGGTTTCCACTGTATTTCAAGTAAGGCTTTTGAACACCATAACAGAGCTTGATGTGATGAGTACTGAGTTTATCACCTGCCACCTGTGGTTTCCAGCTCCCATTGATCCAGCGCCCAAAGCCATCCCATAATAGTTTACAGTTTCGGTTACATGCCGAAGGAATTCCAAGCCCGTAACTCAGAAATTCTGAAGAGAAATTTTGTCAGGAAAATGTCAATATATTTCAGTGTTTAAAGCGCATGCAAGAGACATGTTCCACTAAAGAATGTGTTAAGAGGTTTACACCACGTATTGAGCAATTTATGAGACGAGTGTTTGCCAAAATTCCACCAAGTAGTCCCAGTAACTTAAACCATATTGTGACTACCCTGGTATCAAATCTCACCTTCGTATCTAGTGGGTCCTGACGGTGGTGGTACCGTTATGGTCAGGGGTATCCCTTCCCACAGAGGTGTTTGTAAGTAGACATAAGGTTCCCATAAAATTCCATGCGGCTGCCCGTTGCCATGGATATTTCCTAAGAAAATACAAAGGAGGAGTTCAATGCCTATAACAGTTGTTGCAATCTTTCTGCTGGATTTTTTCAACCCATTTTTTTTTTTTTTTTGGTAACATGTTACTGCGGTTTTCACAAACATGCGAATTCTGAAGTTCAAAAGCCAACTGACGATCGCGTTTTTCGCTGCCGTCAATCATCCTAACGGACCTCTTAGGAAACAAAACTTTACTTTAACGGGTTCAAAAGGTCATGGTTTCTGATTCGTGATTGGAGGATTTCGATCCGTTTCGTATGTTTCTTTGTTTCAAGGTTCGTTGCTTGTAATCGTAATTATGATTGACGGCAGCCAAAAACGCAATTGTGAAGGCGGCTTTTGAACTTTAGAGTTCGCATGTTTGTGAAAAGCACAGTAAATATCATGGGCTTCGTGAGGACAGTGGCTCATATATAGTAAACCGTGGATGGTGTGCGAGGGCACACAATAGACATAAAAGAATGGGTGTGGAGAGTAACGAATTATGCTTAGTTCGATTAGTACAGTTGTCATCTTTTTGTTGTTGTAAGTGCTTAGAAACCTTGCCCATACCATGATTTCAAGTCGCCTCAAGAATTTGGAACTCATAAATGGTCAGACGTTTTTCTTTTATTTTTAATTCGGATTAGTATGGGATTCTGGTAAACTCCCCATTCACCCCTCTCCTAAGCCAACAACAACACTACCTTCTTGCTTAGGGCAAAATTTTGGGTCTTTGGAGGGGTAGGTGGACAGTTTTCTAGAATCCTATTCTAATCCTCTAATTCTACCCTTTCCTACGACCTCCAACTCACACCTGTCAACCTGGATTGGTCACCATGGTAACATACCAAGCATAAACCAGTAATCTGGCGGATTCTTCATTCCGTCACATAAGGAGTAATCCAGAACAACTGATACGTGGTAGGTCCCAGGCTCCAAGATAAGGAAAAACACCTCATACGTTCCATTCTCGTGATCAATCACAGTCGGAGCAAGCGCAGTTGGTCCCCAAATAAAGACTCGCCAGTCATCACCTCCCACTGTCTTTGGTTGGCCGTTAGATGTCTGGGACTGGATACTAAACCTGCTAAAATCACCTGCGGGTTTAATGTCCATAATAGGAATATAACTCTGAGCAGGGTCTGTCCTATTTTCCAGTCCCCATCCTAGAAGACTGACGCTAAACTTTGTCATTCCTCTGCAAGGGCTACTGACTAGTTCCCAATCCGTTGCGACCCTCCGCATTCGACACCAGTCTCTGCCAAATTCCTCTAAACTGTTACGACTAACGGTGCTTTCTAAGTATAAAGGGAAATACCACTTGAGGTACACAAACAATATCACGGTTAATGTCCAGAAGAGGAAAAATGCTCTACGCAAGACAAACATCCGGGGTATTCCTCGCAGAGTCCTGATTCGAAACGCCTGTAGCGGGAGAGACGCGCAGAATTGCAGGATGGTTCGCCAAAGTTCTGGTGGACAGCGGAGAACGCTGTGAAATGCTCTATGTAAGTTGTTGTCGAACTCGTGCACGCTGCTTGTGTATTCTGAATGCACGTCATGTCTGTGAGATTCTGTCATAGATAAAGCCTCCTACCAGATGCTCGTATATTAACAAATATCATTTGACCAAATACAGAGGTGCCAAGATGTTGTTTGTTTGGAGTAAGTCTAGATTTGTCAGTACTCGCTAGCAATCAATCTAACCGGGAAAATAAAAGAAAGCATCTGTTATGGATTAGCTTAAACCTCAAATGCTCATTATTTAAAACTTCAAATATATTATCAGTACAATTTACAAGCATGCCCCTAGAATCGGTGTGTAGAAGTCTGCAGAATTACATTAGTTTAAAAATCCTTTTTAATCCGAATTAGTTTAAAATCCTGAAAGTCTATAACACTAAAACGGAAGTAGTTGCTTAGCCAATCAGATCGGTGGCAGAAAATCAAAAGAGCCAATCAGCACTCGACTAAAAGTAAATACAGGTGAGCGATGCTGAGCGCGGGAAATTATGTACAAGCAACGGGCACCGATGGTTTTTCCTCTACTTTTGATTGGTTAAACATGTGGCGCGACATTTTTTTGGCCAATTGCAAAGAGATAAAAAGGGAACACTGCCATGAAACTCAGTTTCACAGAAACGTAACCCTCTATAACCTTTAGTGATAAAACAAGGAGCCATCCCTTGCAGCAAAAAAAGGCCCCCCAAAAAAGTATATCTCGCACGTTTTCTTCTACCCCGATTCAAAGCGACAGATCCACATTATAATCTCAAAAATCATATTAAAAGACAATGTAGTATAAGAACTATATCACAGCACAGACAATATTCAAAGAAACCAGCAGCGAAGGGGTTAGGCAGGCTTACTTGTAAGTTAAGAAACTTATAAACGACTTCCCCGCTATGAAAACCCTTTTAAGGATTTGGGTCGAGACAATCTCGTTTCAGTTAATAGTAAGCTTGATGCTTTGTATTTGGAATGACAGAAACTGTTTGCATTCAAGCGGATTAAAACCATTAAGGTAGTTTTCCGGATCATGCACTTTTCGAAATTCTTCTGTTGTCCCCTCATAGTTCCCCTTATCAGTTCATAACTTTTCTGCTAACGATAGCACAAAATTAGAGCAAAAGCAAGTTAGCTTTAAACGTTAAAACGGGAAGTTTAGTCAAGCTCTAATACAGGTATCACAATTTAAAAAGTATGTAACATAAAGGAATTTGAATCTAAAGGAATATTTTTTAGATTTACATTTCTTACCACAATTCCTTTTCAGAGTATAACTGCTTGCAGACATGGCTTAATAGTTGAGGAACATTACGTGTGTGTCCGGCAAACTTTCGATAAAAATATATTATCTTGCTATTGTTTTGTTATTCGGTGCACAGTCCACGTTGTTTAATGAAGCGCACAGACCATGTGATTTCTGACATCGTATCACCTGTCATGTATATGGTGCTCTATTCACTGACAGGAATCAGTGAGAACAAATACATTTTAACGCTAAGGTATACTTTGAATTAATTCTACTAAAAACATCAGGTTTTCAGCGATACCGGGGTATGTTTGATTCCTGTTGTGGTGTCATAACATCGTCATTGGTCATAACACGTGACTGTTATAGGGCTGTAAGGCTGTAAGTGTACAGTCTACCCTCCCCCATGAGGACAGAAAACCGCAAAAACTACGCGAAAATACGGTGCAAAAACAGCACGACGGCAACGGCAGCGAGAACGGCAAAAACGCAATTAGTTGAGATTAGGAAAACAACAACTTTGCACGTGCATTACGCTTTTTTGTAAATTTCTTAGCCGTCTTTGCACGACAGCAAAAGATAAAACTACATATCTTTTGTTACAAGTAAGTGTAAGAAATTTTGAAATGGTAAAGAGTAAGAATTAAAAAATCTAGTATATTACATAGCTAATTCATATTTAAAAACTAAACGATTGATAAATTAAAATAGTTTTTAAAACGCATAGTGTTAAAACAAGTTTCTCTCCTAAGATTGTAACTGGACGGTTTAACACGAGGCATAATAGATAGAAGTTTCAAACAGTGACGTTTTCGGTTTGTTGTCATCCAGAAATTTTGCTTCCATGGTAACGTGACGTAACGACTTCTCTCTATTTGATGAATGTCGTGCAAACTCGTCCCCAGGATCCTCTTGGTTTCCAATGAGAGCTGAGAGAACTTTCCTCTGTCATTCACCATTTTCAAATAGACCACAATGCACCTTGTTTACCCTTCAACATTTTAAATGGGACGACTGTAATACCCAGGAGAAATTGGGAACAACAGTTTTGGAAAATTTTGGGCGCGAAACAAGGTGCATTATGGTCTTTGTGAAAATGGTGAGATGCAATTTTGAAGGTTGAGGAGACGCCTGGAAACGAGGTCGGACTTTCATACTGGAACGAGTTCATCCCAGTTTCTGTTAGCTATGAATTCGTTCACTTGGCAATATCAGCACAAACCCCATAGCGGTACGGTTTTAACCGGTGGCATAGTGGGTTTGATAATTTCAAATCACGGTAAGGTAGCATTAAAATACCATGCCACTTCCTCATGTTTCATACTTGAACAGGTCTTTCTAGAAAACAGGAACTTGTAACACGTACCACAATCATTTTTGGCTCTTGGTATAAATCACCCACCAAAGGCGAATGTCATACGACGAGTCACAATGCCAAAGAGCTACATATGTTCGTAAACCAGTAAGAGAGAACAAGTAATTGCTGATTGTAACCAAATATTTCCTCCGGCGTTTGAAAACTGATTGCAGTTAAAGTTAAAGTTATCATTTGAGTTCGTAGTTTCGCCTTCTAGAGCTAAGATTTTAGTGCAATCAGTTTTCAAACGCCGGAGGGACGTACTCCTGAGAATTCCTGGTGGGGTGTGCCACTCGGTTCTCGTAATCGTTACCTTGTTTCAGACCACAAAATGTTATTTTCCACACCCGTTTTCACACCTAGCTAACCAAGCCTCTAACACCCAAACCCGTTTTCAGACCTTCTTATGACATCATTACTTAGATTAGAAGGCCAACGAAAAAGTTGCTTAAAATGCACTTTGAATTCGCATATTACTCTTTCTTTCTATGTTTATTTTCAATTGAAAGGAAAAATACTTTCATACACGCCCGTTGCTCCCTCTAAAACATGCCCGATTCCAGACTAAAATGGTGCAAAGTTAATACCCGATTTGAGACTGAAACGACGCAAAACCATACCCTCTGGGGTGGCTTTTACACGCAATTCAATAAAGGATGCTTTGGCAAATGGTCATTGGCGATTGGGCATTGGACATTTGGGCATACACAACAAAGCTATAATTTGCTTGAGTGACCACCAAACAATAGATTCCTAGTGCGCAATTACCATTGCGTAAAGCAACCTTAATTGAATCAGCTGTATAAAGGAGTACCCCCGGATTTCAAACGAGGGTTTTGGATTAATAAGAAAGGGGACACAATACCGCTGGCCATATAAATAGCAAACACTGACAAAACATATCACAAAAAAAACATCTTTAATCGTTTTTATATGTTCTAAAAAAATGATCTTCAAGTATTCTTTCCGCTGACTCAAAGACAAAATGTTCATAATGTACAGCATCTTTGGGCCGGGATGGGCTACCTGTGCCGTATGGATAAGAATCCGTTAGTGGATGAACGTCAAGCACCGGAACATTGGCTTCGCACATGGCTGAGGTAGCGAAAGCATTGAAGAGAAGAACCCTCTGCTAGGAGAGAAAAAAATAATTGATGATTGTTCTGTTTAGTTTAGTTTTTATGTGCATAGATACCGCTGTTGCGTCAACCTCGTTGCCAGGTATCCCGTAGCGGGACGAGTACGAGGGGGTCCTGGGAAAGAAGTTGCTGGTTTTTTTCTCCTTTTTCTGCATGTTTATGAATGGAGAAGGAAGGGACTTTCGTCTCTAGCTTGTTAGACATTTTTTCAATCAATGCTTATCCATTGTAAGGTTCAGGGTTGCGGATGTGGAGGAACAGAGCGTTTGCCATTACCCTTTACTGTCTTAAACCTTCATCTGGACTGTACATTGAGATTATCCATGTGTCAAAAAGGTCTTGAACCTAAAAGGACCTGGAATCTTATTAGTCTATGAGAAAATTTTATATATAGATCAGTTCCTTGAGGGGTGGGGGATTTTATCTTAAGACAAAATTCATGATAGTTAGTCACCATTAAGTTCCAAATGACGAATAGAATAACATAACTTGCGCCAAAAAATGACCATAAATCATAGTTTGCAAACAAAACAAGGCAAAGTAGGAACATTTGGTACCTGATACGTTAAAAATCTCCTCCCTTGTATGTGTTTTCCGTCAAGCTTATGTTTATTCAACGCTGTCGTTGTTCTCCAGATCATTTCTCCGGGAAAAAGGCCGTCTCCATTCGCTCTCCTAACCACTTTTGTTTCGTCGAAGAGCCGTATCAACGAGGAAATAGTCTTTTGATAATTAGAAAAGTTTGTGCTTTCCAAGTAATGTAACCCTGCATTCAGAAGGATCGCGCTGTTTTTATCGAAAAACGGTTTTGCTATAATGTCAAGCACTTCACTCGCTACTCTCAAATAACTGAAGTCAAGGTTGTCATCTGCAATTTTCGCAGCTGTAAGATTTCCTGAAAGTGAAAAAAGTGGACGTTATTGTCTGTTTCTTGGAGATACTAGTAGGGAGCGTTAGCAACGACGCCCCCGGGAGTTCAAATTTGATAGCGTTTGAGTTGGAAAACGCCTCACTTCCGGTTGACGCGCGTCGCTCAAAAACGCTTTTGCTCAAGGTCCCGAATAAACAAGCGGCGACGAATTTTTCTTTCTCTTTTTAAACTAAGTCGGTTCGGTCCCCAAGAAATCAGTTCCAGGAAGATTCGCCTACATTTGACTTCTGCGCATTGGAATACACGCGGCAAAGTTTGAAAAAAAGCAAATTCATTTTAAAGGTGGCGTTTTCGCCGCTGTCGACGTCTTCGATGCTAAAGCTTCCTAACAACTTGCATCCTAAGTCAACTTAACCAATCTGTTACATTTCCACAATTTTTAACCTATGAGACAGTAGGCCGGCCTTTCACTTAAAAGCTACTGATCAGTATTTTCTTTTGGTACTATTTATTGTGTCTATTTTAGTCTTTCTTTATAACCAAAGTAAAACCAACATCTTTATTTCCCACTTTGTATTTGTCAGCATTTAGCAAGCGTAGCAGGTGTTTGACAGAGAGGGAAAGAGCGCGCGAAAACGTGCTGGGTGCCCGCAGCCTCGTCCCTAGGGTCCCAGGGTGGCCGTAGTGTTTTCGCGCGCTTTTGCTACCCCCGCCTTCCCCCCCTTTCCATTCCCCACGCAGGTTACCCAGTATTTGTAAATTTTGTCATTACCCTTTAACTGATATATCCAGTTGTATGTGTGTCCACACCATTTGAAAACAGTACTGCATAGCGGGCGTGGTCTGACTCCCCAGAAAAACTGCTCGCTGACGGAGTCCCCGTATATCCACAGCACACTATCGGGCCGGAGAGGACTGGGATTCAGTGAACTGTGTCTGTCTCTATCTGCAATGGCAAGAGCACGTGCCGTGAAAAGATCGAAATATTTTTTACCCGAATTTGGTCGTTTTGTTTCAAAACCGTAATCTGTCTAGACCAAATACCGTTAACAACAACAAGTAACAACTTTGTTTCGGATTTATAAAACAATAATACAGAAAATAATTTCACCAGCAGATTTCAAAGGCTAATTGAAGCGGGTCAGTTGTTGATCAGTTTTTGTTGTGTATATTTACATTATGAATTATTTAATTAAATTCAAAACAAAATGATGTTTGAACTAAAAATAGGATACAATAAAATAAAAGAAAGAAAACAAAGGGGAAAGGAGTCGAAGTGTGGGTTAACAATTTTGCTGGGAGGAGAACACTTTCTTTGAAAAAAGAAAAGACAGTATTAAGTATAGACTAACATGTTTAGTTTTTATCATTAAAAGCTGAAGTAACTTGTTTAATTTTCTATGCTTCGCGTGCAATATTGTTAGAAAGGAGATGAACTATGTTTTTTTTAATCCTGACTGGTTTTTGTGTCAGTATTAGTACGTATTGTCTAAAAAGTGAGACAAACCCTGTAGGATTGACACGTTCTTTCTTTAGTCCCAATGACTGGAGTAAAAAATGGCGATAAAACATACCAGTAGATATCAACCACGTGATAACAGTTATAAAAACACATTGGGAAGGAATCCCCTCCTACAGGATGTTACTAGAATGAGGAACGGGGAGCCAGGGCAACCTCGTTTCCGTAGGGAAGGGTGGGAGAGAACCCTGGGAACGAGGTTGGAGCAGGGAATGAGCATAGGGAGCGGGAAATTTAAAAAAATGAAAACAATGGAGACAATTGGAAATGAAGTTACTACTGGGTCTAGGGTTCAAGTTAGGTTTTGTTCCCATTTTCCATTGTCCTGCTCCAAGTGCAATTCCCCGCTTCCCGTTTTAGAAACATCCTCTCTCACTGCATTGTTATAACACACAGAAGATCATTTTTTTGCACACACAAGATCATCCATCTTGTGCTCATCATCGTTGATTGACCTCCTTTAACCAGCTTACCATCTGTTGCAATGAAAGGCTTCCATCTTGGCGTTCTTTGATGACTGCTGATCCAGTTACCAAATCCATCCCAAAGAAAATTGCAGCGGATTCCACAAGAAAGGTCTAATCCTGCACCTGCGGACTGTACCACTGAAACCAGAGGGTTAGCAATGTCACGCATATGATGAAGATACATAAAAGGTACAGTGTGTATTCCCCTATCATTCGCTAACATCATTCTAGCTAACATTCCCCTGAAAATGTTATCTAACATTGATTGTGGATATTTCAGCACGAGCTCTTTTTTCACCGGCTTTGTAGCTATATATACCGATGCATTTTTGTGGAGGCGTGTGTGGCTGAGCGGTTAACACCTGGAATTTTGGATCTGGAGGTCTGGGGTTCAAGCGTTGTTTCCTTAGACAAGGAACTCTGCTCCACTTTGTCTCTCTTCACCCAGCGATACAATTGGGTACACACTACTGGGGGTGGGGGAGTAACCCTGCGATAGACTGGCATCCCGTTCAGGGGGAGTAGCAATACTCCTAGCCATTTTTCATGCTAAGAAAACCGGGATAAGCTCCGGCCGTTTGGGCGTTTGGCGCGTGTTCGCCTTTTCCTTTTTTGACGTTTATTCTATTTCCAACATCTGGTATATTCACGAATTCACAATTACCCTGCTCTCCAGTTGGCTTGATAAGTCACAAAAGTCAGGGTTCGATTTTGTCATGTCAACTTTCCCTAGAAAAATTGCTAACGAAGAGCTTTCACAACCTTTTATTTGCATTTTAGTTTAATTTATATTCTTAAGACTGTATATGAACTTTACCTTGATACAAAGGCTGTTCTCCGGGAGGTATGGGACGAATGGTAATCCATACTGGATTTCCAAACCTTAGAGGTTTCAATATGTATGGTCGCTCAGCTGGTCTCTTAGTTGGACCTAGGACTCCCTCTTGTTGGAATTTGCCTTGTGCATTCCCTGAAAGGTAGTATCTTGCGTTTTATATGTATATTACAGATTGTTATATAGCTGGAAATTTCTTCCAAACAGCTCGCTCTCATTGGTTACTTTGAGGTCACGTAAAACCTAATAATGAAACTGTTTCCCACCAAAATCTCTGAGAGGGCAGCATTGCAAAGTCTATGGCATCAGAGGGTAACAGTGTACTGTTACCCAGTGAATGTTGACCGGCGACCGCCGTGACAGGTTTCGCCTCGGGAAACATTGAGATTCTCGGGAAACAAAATTAACTATTTCCCTCGGGACCAGTCATTAGTTTTCATTGATAACGATTCTCAAGAACAAGTGTAAGTGAAGTACATGAAAGACATTCAGAGGTCATGTTCGAAAACACCCAATAGAGAATATCCTCTGTTGAAGCACCTGATGACAAAATTTGTGGCTAAAAGAAAGAACAAACTAAATTGCTTTTTGAGTGCCTCCATAAAAGCAAGAGAAATATGAAAAGTAAAGGTCTTTATAGTTACTGATTATTGGTGTCATCTTATTTTATTGTACCCAAGGCAAAACCAAATTAAAGCATAGAAAACAAATGACAAAACAAAGTAGTAAACTTAGCCTACTTCTGATCCTAATGAATTGATTATTGTACAACAAAGTTAATTCAAAACTCATAATAACATGATAAGATGAGAGAAAGCAAGCAAAAAACAAATTCGTGAACAGTGTTTTCATTGATAATCGACCTTTGGTTTGAATATAACTTATGTGAGCCACCATTAATAGATATATAACGTACCAACAATAAACCAGTCTGGCGGTGGATCAGCGAACCCATCACAAAGTGAATGATCCAGTATAGCTTCTACTTGGTAGTTCCCAGGCTCAATAATCAGGAACAAGACTTCATAGGTCCCATTCATATGATCAATAACAGTCCCAGCAACAGAGGCCGGACCCTTGAGATGAACTCTCCACGAGTCCCCACCGATTTTCTTCTCCAATCCTTTGCTTGTTACTGTTCTAATACTAAGCCTACTGAATTCTCCACACGGACGAATATCCCACAAAGAAATATAGCTTTCATCCGGATCTGTGCGGAACTCGAATTCCCATCCGGGAAGTTTGGTTCCCCACGCAAGATTTCCTTTACATGGTTTCAGCATTTGTTCCCAGTCTACACGTGCTTGCCTTATCCGACACCACTGTTTCATGAAGTCAGCTATTTTGATTTCATCCGGGGAAGGCGTTTGCATAATACGTACTAATACAATGACCGCTAATGTTATTGCAAGAATTACCCATGGCTTTCTCTTTCTTGTGATTTTGGCCAGCTCCCAGCGGGCCATATTGGAGTGTTTTAGTGAACTACATCGTCCTGACGAGAATTCAAAGTAAGCACGAAAGAGAAAAATAGTTGCTTACTATTTAAAGAAACCATTTATAAATCGAACAATATTTTTGGTATCTAAATTAATTGCGCCTTTAATGTCACTGATGTAACCAACAATTTAAGAAAGGGTTTCTTTTAACATCGCCGAAAACGCGTGACATCGCACTTAATCCCCACCAGCTTAAATCCTAAGCTTTGTCCGAAAGTTTCACGAGGAACTCTGGGAATATAAACCTTCCGACAAAAACGCATAGCGTGTCCTGAAACAGTGGTCAGCGGCACTTTATAAACTGTATAGCGAGGTTTTTGAAAATTCTGTCCACATTCTTGGGGAATGCCCTTGTTGTGCCAACTAATATCCATGGAATGTGGCCGCGAAGGCCCTGTTGTCCCAGCGGTAATCCTCCGAAGGACATGCAACAATGTTCGTTTCGAAAACACGTAGTCAGCATAATTCAGGAATACAAGTAGGTATCAAATAGACGACTTTTCGACACCTCGGGCTTATTGTTATGAATTTATTCAAAGCGAAAACAAGAACTGCAACGACTGACATCGACTGGATAAAATATGGCGCATAATTTAAAGTGTTCACGTGTACGTATGGCACGGAGACTGCAAAGCAAATGTTTCTTTAAAACGGCCTCTGAAAGGTAGCAATCCTTGTTTCTCTTTAGAAATTTCAACCAAATTACTGCAACTCCGTGTACGTTTATTTTCCGCCGCAAAAATCCTTGGAAACATTGTAGCTTGTGAACAAACTTTTTCCTTTCAACGCATTGTTCTTTCTGGTCTCAAGATTATATAAGCGTGGAACATTATTAACGTAATCATATCTTCCCTGGCACTCTTGTTCTAGTCGAGACACTTTCGGAAGTCACCAAATGCCGTTTCTTTTCCGACAATTTTGGGCCAAGAATTCAGGGCAGATACAGAACTTCACGAGTTGGCACTACAGAGGGTAAACTTGGTGGACTGTAGTGTGTCATGTATAGAGCGCAATACTCTAAAAGAGCACTTTTAGAAAAAGAAATAAGGCATTAATTTTGCTCATTTAAACGATTATAACTTGCTGGCAAACATTAAATCTTAAAATCCGCTTCCGGCTCACATGACACACTAGAGGTTTTGACGAATCATCCAGTAATGAAACGACATAGTGCTGGCCTCTAGTCAACATGCAAACTTCTGGACACAAAATCACGTTTTCCCAATTTGGGACCAATGTGGCTTAAGCGCGATCTATCGAATAAAAAAACAACCCTCCTAAAATTCAATCATTCCTTAATTTCTCTGTAAAACTATATTATCTAAATCACCTTCAAAACAGCCAAGATAAAAAGATGTAGCGCAAGCAAAAAATTGGCTTATGAATTAATTCAGGAATGTGTTTTCAGAGAAAAACAGGTACAGCTACATTAAAAATGTAAAACACGTTTTTAACATCACTAGCTTGTTAGACAGGTCATTTCTGGTTAGTGGACAAGTGCTTTCTCGGTGCAATGGAAAATATTTAAGAAATTGAAGAGTCGCGAATAAGTTTTAGAATAATCCAATGGCTAAATCAAAATACCAGGGTGAGATTAAGGATTAGTTTTCTGATACAAATTACTTTCCATTCGAAAAAATACAAGGCACAAATTTGCCATGATCCAGTTAATTTTGTCTAAATATCTTTGTACTTACACCAAAGGTATATCGATAGAAACCACAAAATGAATAACACATCACACGGACTATTGAAAACAACTCTTATGACTCTTACCGTCTCAGATCACGGTGTAATTTACAACCACCGCAAGCATCTCCCACTTTATAAAGCGTCGTACAAGTTGTTTTTTTCATGACTTGATTTCTCCTAAAATTATTTTGACCTGTTCAACTAAAATTGCGCATGTCACGAAAAGTCATAAATTATCATAAATCGGCCTTTTAGCTGTCTTCCGCCCTCGTCTTCATCGCTATAGGCCATTTTCACGATTACGATGTTTGACTACAACTACCAGAATTCATTTCGCCTTTGCTTTCTTATTTAAATTTATCAACTCCACTGAGGTTTAAAGAACAATAGCCTTAATTTGCACAAGAAAACAGCAAACTGAAGGATTCTGGTAGTTCTAGTAAAATGACGACATCGAGCAATTGTCTTATTCAACTTTTCGTTCTCTTTCAGAGGTCTGTCAAATGCCACTCTCAATTTCAGTTTTAAGTTTTATTTAAGCCCTTCCCCCTCCCCCTCCTCCACAGTTATCAGCTTGTCACGCAGAGTGCATTGTTATAGGAAATTAACGATGCAGTTTATTAAAGCAATTTAAAAAAATCGCGTTAGTTTAATGCATCTTAATCTACGTCGATGTAAATCACAATATTTACATCATTGTTGTTTCACAGCACCTTTATTTCAATAACAAGACGTCTAACAAAATCTCGTCTGCTCATGGTTCCTCTATCAACGCTTCGGAGTCACTATCTAACAGTTCTTCTTTACTGAACTGAGTTCAAAATGTCTTTCGTCTGGTCTTCGTCTTGATCCGTTTCCCCGAGGGGATAGATATGTATGCTGAGAAGTTTGAATTGCAGCAAACTCGTGTAAAACAAAGTTAGGCGCACATTAGTTTCGAAAATTTTGCGTTAATTTGATGTATGTAAACCTAACTTTTAGAAAATTCGCGTTAATTTTGTGTAACGTAGATTTTCTTCGTGCTGTCAACGTGCGTCGTTAATTTCCTATAATAAGGTAGTCAGAATAGGCAAGCGCAAAAGCAAACGCGAAGCGAGCGAGGAGCGCCAGACACACAGACACAAGATATGCAGGACGTCTCTTATCGCGTGTGTCTGGCGCTCCTCGCTCTCTTCGCGCTTGCCTTCGCTCACCTGAAAAACGCCGAAAAATAATGCCTGTTCTGCAGGCTATATCAGCTAAGAAATAACTTTTTAAGTTCGGGTTTGTGGGCGGTAGTTTCGACACGAAGAAACAAGAAACACACCAACATTTTCAGGTTTCTTTTCATTTATTTTACTAAAACAGTTTTAGGTAACACGCACGTGTTAATCTCGTGCGCCGTCTTAAGAATCACGTGGTCATCACATGACTATGGCGTGCTGCAGGTAAGTTTCTTTGGATCAGTGAGGTAGATATGCTGACCAGAGATCACCTTCCGACGTATCACACATTTAGGCACTTCCTTGAAGAAAAGCTGAGAGGATAAAGAGATTAGTTTATGATCTTTTCCAGGAGTTTCTTTAGGAGGTTGTTAAACTACAATAGTGCTTGCAGCGCCTCCTACCTTGAAAATTAACGCTGTTTTTCACCAAACAGCCAATCCAATTTTTATAGGGTTAATGATAATTTAATTATTTTCAATTTCTTGCTCTCCCCTCGTTTTGTTTCCTTAAAACAAAGTTAGCCACCGCTTCTTTTGACGAACCTAAATGCAACCTCGTCCCCAGGGCGCTTTCCCCTGGCTTTGGAGGTGGGGCAGGACTAGGGAAAAGCGCCCTGGGGACGAGGTTGACTTAAATGCTGTCTACACACCTCAACCCCTCCCTCATATCAGTACCAAATTGTTGACCGAGAAATCCTAACACTCTGTTTGAGATTAATCATTACCTTAAAGTACTTCATTGGAGGATGTTCCCATAAATAACTTTGGATATTAGCAAGGACGGACCATCCAAAAGCCTTCAATCGACCTGACGACTGACCATACATGAGATACACTGGAAATACTTGATCACAGTGCATGTCTGGGGAAATATCATACAAGTAGTGCACTCCTATGACAGAAAAAAAACGGTTATCAGTGGAAAAGTATCTGGCTTAAACGAAAGATGAGGGACCTCATGCTTATTACAGATCCTATTTCCTTTTTTTCCTGGCTATCAGCTCTTAGCTCGATCGACAGACATTTTTTTTTATCTTGCAAGCGTGCTCGAAGCGCCAGATCTACCCCACTCTTGCGCTAGCTTTCAACAGTCAATAAATCCCCCCGGTTTTATTTTCATATGCACCCTTGAACTCTTAAGAATAAAATGGGGGGTCATTGCACAGCCCACACAGCTCTCGGTACTCCATCCTCTCCGTATGAATTCAGAGGGCAGAAAGTAATATTCATAGTAAGGGATTCAACCATATTTTCACTTAAAATAACTATAAGACCCTTTTTTTATCTGAGTACCAAAGAAAGTAAGTGAATGATAGTATGAGACTTCTCCTTATTGTTCGCCTGCAATGTCCCTCCCTCATTTTTTCAAATTATCTTACCCATTCCACGAAAGCACTTCCCTTTCACCCATCTGGTGTTTGCTAGTTTTCGTTCGTCCAGCGGTATTTCCATGAACTCAGGCTTGCACAGTCTGACGTCACTCAATTGAATAACCAGGGCATCTTTCTTTTTGTGTCGTCCATTCGCCAAGTGCTTGCCCGGCCTTTTCTTGCAGATATCACTGGGTTTGTCGGTGAAGTAAGCTGTTACAAGATAGTGGCCATGGTCGTCCTTTACAAACGCTCCCGGCCGGGGTCGGGTGGGTGAAAGTATTAGCTCGTCTGACTCAGTGATCTGTGTTAGAGAAAATATAGTTTGTTTTAACTTGATCAAATGTTTTAACCTTATAAGCATGGCACATTCTCCCCAAGACGAGAGGCGCGTTCATCGCATAACGTTCAGTGATCTGGGATAAAGGGGAGCATAAAGCCCTTGCCTCGATTTGATTAAGTAACCTAGAATGCTTTGGAGATAATTGTCAATTGCAAACACGCATATAATTCTTAATTTTAAAACTTTAACTTTTTTATTCACGCACCATATTCTCGCATATACCTCCCTATGACTCAGTAATCTGGGGTTTTGAGGACGACATAATCTGCGTAACTTAAATTGAACCTTAAACAAGACCCACGTAATTGTCGGACATGCCCCTTTATTCCGGAAAGGTAGGATGGCTAACGGTCAAATAATAACCCTCACAGGCCACTGATCATAAACTGTCTTACTGTTGCTTGTATTCCGGCCAGTTCTCCATTGTTATCAAATATCAGCCTCGTTGATATGTCGGTTCCCAGCGCGTATCGGTTGCCATAAAATGGATTTTTTTCATCTACAACAAAGAAATGGCAATTATCTTTAAAAGGTTTAACGAAGAGAAGCTATCTTGTGGGGTGGATGGGGTGGTACGTGCTGGTCGTTGAGACAGAAATTGAAACAGGTGTGTGCGGAAAAATAGTAAGTCTAAGCCTCCTGGTCGGAGGAGGGTAAGTATGTCCCTAGTCTGAATTTCAAATACAGACGTGTTGCGTTTTAAGGAGAGTAGGCCATGTCCCTGTGGGTATTTCAAGCAACTTTATCTCGCTGTTTCAAGGCCATGTGGCTTTTTAAAATTTTACCTTAACGGGGCCTCAGAAAAATCCTATGACAGCCATCATTCATACAATTTTTCACCGGGGTTTTTAGTGGAGGGGAGGGAAAATGTATATACAAGTCGCTCGACTTTGAAAGCAGCGTACATATGACTTCTTTAGTCATAAAAGGCCGATCATCTGCAAACCGGCGATGGAATTTTTTTCTTAATTAAGATCCGCTTCAAATAAAATATCTGGATACAAGATTGATACAAGACAATTTTTGTAAAATCGGGAAAGGATACAGTGTCGTGTAATACCACATGAAGCGTCGTTTCTCCACCCCTCAGCTAGAGCTTGGTCTTCTGTTCGTGGAAGAGGCGTAGGATTCAAGAAATTTACTGAAAAAAAAACCAAAGGATTATTAATCAAGTTTACAATGCCCTCCGAACGATATTTCTCTCATGGTACATTCATATGATTCTTTTTTACATTTGCCATTTGCGCATTCACCATAATACACCTTGTTTATTCCTCCACTCCAGCATTTTTGTCTATAATTCCCACTGGGTATAACAGGTCGTCCAAAGACAAATCAAGGGCAATCAGTCATACAAAATCTGGCCGGGGGAGTGGCTTTCTCCTCTGCAGAGGTTCCCGCTGGGTATCCCAACTGATAAATATAGCGTCATTTCCCATCTCCCTACACTGCGAGCAGTTTCTCTTTTGCTCGAAAATCTGTGAGCGAGTACTTGTAAGTTTACGCAACAGGAGAGCAGGAAGACAAGGACCGTAAAACGCTCACGTGTGACAAACGTGATAGGGCTATTACTTACGTGTTTTGACGTAATCTTCACTTAACATTAATGTTTCCTAGTCTTTTACAAAAAGATCTGTTTAAAGGAAAGTGAAGTTTGGGGAAAAGTTATTTCAAACAAGATTACTATCACGCTTTTCACACAATGTTAGCCGTCTTCTTCCCTCCCCCGTCCTGTTGCGTAAGTTTACTTAGGCGAGGACGGCAAAGCCGCGAGCAGAGAGTTGTGCAGGCGCAAGCACGAGCGTAATTATCGCACTCGCTCACAGATTTTCAAGTAATAGAGAGACTGCTGGCAGTCTACCCTCTCCCCAGCCTTCCTACGACGCAAAGAGGCCTCTGCGAAGGAGAAAGGAGCAAGCGGATAAGGGGGGAGGGGGTGTTGGGGAAAACAAGGTGTATTATGGGAAATGCACAAATCAAATGGCATATAACCGAGGTAAGAGCGTTGACACTCGAGTTTGTTTCCCGTGCACGTTAGCGTTTTTTTGCGCTGGGAAGTTCAAAGCCGTTATTTTTTTTTGAGTAGGATTCGAGAAAACCTCATATGCTACCTCTCGGCAGCTTTCAAGGTCGCTTCTTTTGAACTTTTTTACGTAACGATGGTCGCTAACTCCCTCGTTAAAGTTATCTCAGGAGAAAGGAGCTATATTCTTCCAGGTGTGAAATGCCTCATCCGGCAAAGAAAGCTCTATTAAGCGGCACCTGTTAATGTTGAGTTAAAGCTATCCTCGTTACAGTTTAATTTGGAGTCTGTTACTTACCAAGTAAACGGTCCCATTGTTTTCCTACAAAGCAAAACAATAAATTTCAAGTGAAACAGACTGCTTTTAAGACATTTCAATAAAAAGTACTGACATGTCATTTCGTTTTTTTGTATACCAGTCAACTGATAAAAATGAAAAAGAACTGACTCTAGGTTGATTAATTTAAATGACTGAAGAGGGAAAACAAATACGCTAAGCTAAGCTAAGCAAGTCTATTTCGCTGTTTTCAAGTACTTTTTCTCTTGGGAAAAACAAAGATTCATTTTTAGTGCGACTCCGGAAACAAACAATTCCTTTTAAAATCTGTAAGTTTAATTACCATTTTTTATTTGGTTATTTGTGTTTTTTAGAGAGCATTTTCTATTTTCACTCAATTATAAGCTTTGCAAGCGCAAAGATTAGTTTTTAAAAGTAAACAGGGAACCTGTTTCGATACAAATGAGTTTATAAATCTGTCAATTATAAACAGAAACAAGTTTTAAGACGAGTGGGATTTGTCCTATTGGCGATACCCTGAATAAAATCTGTACTGCTTTCCTCTCTGTTCTTGTGCATGAAGAACTGCAAAATTTTACGTAAAATTGGAAGAAAAAATGAAATAATTAAAACTTTGAAAGAAAACTCATGATAATAAGCATGATGCATATTACGCAGAACGTATTAATCGTTTTACGAAATGATGCAACTACTTGGTATTCAGTTTTGGTTTTTTTTATGATGCAACCACTTGCTATTTTGCAAAAAGAGCATTGTAGCATTAAACTTCAGTTCACTTCATTGTAAGAAAAACGCGAAAAAGAAAAGGAAATAGCGGAGTGTAAATTACAAGGGCACCCAATGGATCTGTCCCTGAAAATATCTGTTCTTCAAGCGAATTTTTGCTGGCTGAGAGATTTTGAAGAAGTAATATGTCCTTGGAAAGAAAGTGTTGCTGGTAAAAGAGACAATTCATGGTGGTCGAGGGAATTTGATGTGTAGAATAGCTGCTATGTTGTATTTGACAGAACACCCTTTCCCCCTCACCCCTCTCCCACTGAAAGGCTGAATTTTGCCCTATGTCCACACTCCAACTGACCTGTAATGTGTGGACATACTACCCCATAAGCTGCATAGCTTCTAATATCATAGTGCTAAAATAAAGGCTGTCTGTCTGTCTGTCTGCTTGGAAACTTCCCAGTAAGTAAGGCTGCAGGTTGTTGGTGCACCTTGCTGGCTGGGGACTCCCAACAGTCTTGCTGGGTGTGAGGACCCCATACATTTTCCCAGGAATCTCTCAAAATGCTAGCGCTTAAAATGGCTTGAGAAAGCTTTATTAATGCTTTGTTGTTGTTTTTAGGTCTTTTTCTCAAAATTTCCCGTTGGATGTGTCTGAAGTCATAAAGGGAAACATCGTATGGAAAGCACTTATGCAGGTTGCGTTTAAAGTTTTACCAACTTGTTAGCATAATTATCCCATAATTGCGGTCTTTTTCCATTTTTCTCCGGCAAAGTCAAAGTAATTATCACCGAACTAACGTATAACTTTGTCAGTTGTCAAATCTATCTGACAGTTACAAAGCCCCACGCTTCAGCTAACAAAAACTGTCCTATAAAAATCAAATATTAGATAATGAACAAAAGAACTTGTTTTTGTGATTTTCAAGCGATTGTTTTACTTGAAAAAATAACTTTTCACAGAATCCCATGAAAATGAGATATAATATCAGTTTGAAAAGTGGAAATACGACTGCATTTTTGAAACTTTTCCCAAATATTTACAATTATTAGCCTACCACTTTCTCCGCAGCTTTTCACAGTTTCCATGTGCAATATCAAGGCCCCAACAAAAAGAAACATCTTTGTCTCTATGAACATTGTATTTTCTGTTCTTCCGTTGAATTTCTTGAAAACAGTTGCTGGGTACGGTGTCTCAAGCCGGCGACACGTAACTCAGGTGAAAGAACAATTAAAGGCGATATCTCTTTAAAATTACCTGTAAAAAGTAAACTATTGATGACGGAATAGTCTCTTTAACCTCTGATTGGTCAAGAAAGAGTCATATTGTTTTAAAATCGAGCCGTTTTTCAAACATTGATCATCGCTCTGAATGGATCTGAACTGACTTCACTCACGAACAGCACCAATTGACCACACCCAGACTACGCTGGAACAACGTTAGCACGAACACTGAGGGGACCATAGAAGATGTGTCAAAAGAAGACGCGATTAATATATGACTGAATCCGTGAGGGAGCATGATGCGTTCTGATAGGCTACTTATCTGAGTGCCCGCTCGGGATTTCCAGCGTTTGTTCTGCAAGAAAAAGTTCTCTTTTTGGCCATATAATGAATCCCTTATTGACCAAGTTTGTTCTGTCAAGATGGCTGTATATTGACCTCGTTCTTTTTTGGGTTTTTATTGACCGAGACGAAGTCAAGGTAAAAAAGTACTTGGCAAGTATAATACAGTCATCTTGACATCACGCTTGGTTAATAAAGCATGTATAAAGCAGGTTGAATTTAGAGAAAATGTCAGGCTTTCTTCTCCGAGCGACAAAGAAAACTCTCCGCAATAACTAGATGTCCGCATTAGGTGGGTGTCCTTTAAGCCCAATTCTTCCGAAATGGTATCAAAGAAACACCAATTCTAATGCGAAATAAACCCCCAAGTCTTCACCACGTTTCTTAGACGTCAACCTCAACTTTTTTATAATCTCAATTTATAGATTAACTGTTTAAATGTTACTGCTGGAAATGGCTAGCGAGCTAATCGAGGCGGGTAGCAAATAAAAACGACGTCCGAATCTGTCGAACGCACGCATTACTTCGCTTTCCTCTGCCCAACCAGGAGCAGTCTTAAAACATCATAAGCTATCATAATTTCGAGTAGCCTCGTTCCCAGCGCCTCCCGTCGCCATATTGACTGTCATTTGCCTTCACTAACTGACTGTTTGGTGCAAAGTAAGTTTTAAGGCAAAGAAAGACTTCGTTTCAAGCACCGAAACCGTTTTCCGTCTTCAGAAGTTTTGCGCAATATAAGCTAAAGTTAGCTTTAAAAGAAGGAAAAAACCAGTATCTAAAGAGGGTATTGAGTCCCTCTCTTGGTCGATATAAAAGCGTCGACTAAACCATACTTTGTTAACAGATAAACTTTAATTATAATGACAGCATTTTACATGGCTCGTTGAGTGCGTATTATGGACTTTGTAGGCTTTACAAGGCTTGACCAATTTATGATAAATATGATATGTAGAGGATGTATTATAATTAAACGGCTTGATATGACTTATAAATGATAAACCAACGCGAAAGGACTTTCTTTTTTTAAGAACAAGCAATTTTCAGTGGGTCCACGAAGTAAACATGTTGTACTGATACTTTCGTATAATTCTTTAAACATTCAGGAGTTGTTTCAGGCTTCATGGATCTCTGTAAACAAAAATGTAAATAAACTTTAAGGTCAGTGTCTTTTTAAGGAATACTTTGTCGTAAGGTAGTAAGGGCCAACGTACAAATGAGAGTACAGGATCGAGGAAATCTGGTCAGGAAAGATCATTTTCAAAACAAAATGAAGTAAAGAAGGAAGGCTGATTGACTGCAATGGGGAATACATTCAAGGAAACAAAATCAAGCATGGAAAGTGACAGGTGCCATAGTCGGGACACCTTCCAAAAAGAGACAGCTGGAGGTAACCCTTTGACAATCGCTTTTGTCGTTTTGGTTCCTTGTGGCGGACCTGATATTTTCCCTCCTGGACCCGTTTATCTTTCCATTTAAGTTGTTTAGATCATAAGCAGCAAAATCAGCGAGGATAGGTCTTTTACCACAGGTACCTCATTTACCAAATTTTGACACAGTTACACAAAAATTACAATCAACATTTGGGGCCATAATATTCACTGCCAATTTTTCTATTTACCTACTACTGTTTGCAGATTACGTTTGTCCCTTTCCTGGAAATTTGGCCAGCCAAAATTTCACGAGAAAGAAAGATGATAAAGTGGGCAACAAAAATGGCTATAAAACGAAAGGCAACGGGAAAAAATTAAGAGAGTGAGAAAAAAAAGATCGGTAAGTTCAAATTTTGACTTATGCGCATGCACAAAAAAAGCTGTTTAATCATATCCAATGACGAGGAAATTTTGCAAATCTCTTATTAGCCATTGTTGTTACTAAAGTGTTAATCGCTGACATTCTCCAGTCAGTTTCGTTAACTCTCTATATGGCACACAACTCATCAGACATAGAGCCGGTCTAAACTGGGTCCGTCTAAACGGTGAATTGACAAATCGACCACAATTTTCCATGGTCTACACTCTTTTAGTAAAATCCAGCTGGCGGTCTATTATCAATGCTGCGTTCTGATTGGTTGAGCTACTACTAGGCTATATGTTATAGCCCACTAGTAGCGAAAAGCGCCGGCTTTTTGGCGACAAAAAAGGATTAAAATCTAGCTTTAACAAGCTAAAAGTTTTTTATTCTCGGTATTTTTGAACAACTAGTTGGATTTTACTAAAACAATTATTCCTCTCGCCCTCATGGCCCTTTGAGTCAATAGCCCATTCGGCCTTCGGCCTCATTGGCTATTGACTCAGAGCCCATTCGTGCTCGCCAAATAATTGTTAAATAGACCATAGAAATGACGTCATAATATGTTCAAAACTCAAGTGTAACCACGAGACTCAGGCGAGTGGTTTCACTGCAAAGTTAAGAGTCTAGACCATGGAAATTGTGGTCGATTTGTTTTTTACAATAACATTTATTTTTTTACGAAAAACTTAAAACAAAACAACCGGCACTGCGTGACATGTTACGTCATTTCCATGGTCTATACTCTCATAGACCATGGCTCTCGACCAATCAGCGCGCCTGAAGGATTCGCTCAGTTATTGTAAAAAGTTGAATGTATACTACACTCGCCCTAAGATCAAACAATCAACAAGTGGCTATAAATTAAATGTTTATAATATTACCGGATTTAAATGTGAAGATCATCACAGTTGAAGTCACAAATAATGCAGCTGCGAAAAAAAAAAGCCTGAAAAAATCCAGGCTTGTCGGGATTCGAGCGCTGACCTCTGCGATACCGGTGCGGGGTTCTAACCAGCCAACTGGGAGCATTAAATTCCTTTATCCCGTAGTTAAAATATTTGAAATTCATATTTTCATTATTTCATTACCGGGTTTGTTGTAAAAATATATATTCAATACTCACTGCAAAGAGAGAAGGAGGTGGCTTTTCCCATTCAGTACTTGGAACATCAAATGGTCCCCCCCAGCCAAATCCAATCAGGGTTTTGCTTTGTTCACTGAACAGCAGGAAAACTGGCAAGGCCTTGTTACAGTCAAAATCTTTCGAGATGTTGAAGTGGTAGTGGATTCCTGTGAGATATAGAATAATTTTAAGCGGTTACATTATTTTTAAAGTTGTTGTAAAGTTGTCGAAAGTATTTCCGAGTTTCCTTTCATCTTTGGTTGCCATGAATCTAGTTGTCCTCGTTGTTGCCAAAATCCTTTCGGCGTTTCGTCTTCTCCGTCACCACTCTCAAAACTCAGTGACCGATGTTCCGGCTAATTTCCTGCCCCCATGTTGGGGCCCATCCAGATGGGCACCAACATGGTTTCTCCATACAAAGCTCTAAAAATTTGGGTAAATCATGTCGTTTCACCGAATATCTGGCATACGATAAAATTACAGTGACTTGAATTTTGGCGAGGTCTTTATATACGTGCTTTCATTTCCAAGATTCTGAACTTTATCAGGATTAAACGGTTTTGATTTTTATTTTTAATGGCGTGACAGTGAAAACCAGCAATAGCGGAGCTCCCGCTAGGGAAGCGCGCGAAGCGGAACACCACCATAATTTGTTATCCATGCATCTCCTGCATCTAAGAAATTTTGGTTGTAAAAAATCGTCCGTCAGTCAGTGCATTCGACCGTACGTCCGCCCCCTTCATGGAAGCGATGAGAAATGTCAAACTTAATGCTGACCTGTGTCATGTGACTGAATTGTAGGCTCAACTTATCTAGGTAACGTGTATTTTTAAGGATCTCCCCCAGCTAGTTATTAGTTTTCACTTGATGGTAGGCTCAAGTCCACTTTATTAAGGAGGAATTCAGTTTGTTTCTTGTTAGCAGTCTTAAAAAAATCTACGGGAGCTTCGCTTTTGGCCTTGGCTAAATCTATACTAATATTAGGAATCTCCCAGGCTGACGACAGAGAGTCACAATGGATCGAAGCTGGCTATGTGGTTGGCTCTAAAATGCTCGTGTCGTCATTTCAGACAACCAAATTTAACACCACCGACATTCAGCGAATTCCTGGCGCCGGTTTTCTTGCGCATTGGGCATTGCACACCTGGCTGGAGTCTTATTCGACTGACTATCTCTCAATATATAATTGGCCAAATGCGCCAAGTTAAAAACCCTCTGTTAAAACTGTAAGCTTCAGGCAGAAGTTTATTATCACCAAAAGAATTACCCATAGCGGGAACACAGGTTCCCTCGACCCAAGGTGTGTCCACGATCTTTTTCTCCTTCAGCGGTAGTTTCATAACTTTTTTATTCAACCGGAAGTCAGACATCTGTATCCACAGAAGGTTTCCTATTGGTCGCTTATTGTGGACCGGCTTGTTACACTTCTTTCCTTTATAAGCGCAAATTTTCTTCGGGTTCCGGAAGTAGGCAGTGAGTGCCACGTGCCCATCATCTGTTGTGATCCACGGTGGTTCGCTGTAGATATCAGCATTCTCAGGTGGTTTGTTGATCTGTTGAAAGAACATAAGGACAGCTACTGTTGTATTCTACCACGGTCAAATGTCTGGGGCGTTCAGTTTTCGTTTTATTTAGTGCGATTTCATCTACCGTTAACAGCGGCGGATCCAGAGCTTCAGATAAGGGGGGGCCCGGTCATCCAGACCCTGAGATAAGGAGAGGTTCCCGGTCTCCAAAAAAAAGTTTTTCGACCCTTCGCGCCTCAGTTTGATCTAAAAATAAGGGGGGTGGGCCCCTTCCCTGAATCCGCCACTGGTTAAAGAAGCTGTGTCACGAAATTTATCAAAACTTAAAAGAGCGGAAACTGCGACCAAACTGAATGAAACATAAAAATGACAACTCAGGACATGAAAAGAAGGTATAAATAACACATCAAATACAAAAGGAGGCACGGATGGACAAACTTGAAGAACATTGAAGATTGCAATTGTGCCTTTTGAAACCTGGCGGTTAGGTTATAAACAGTTTTCAACGTTCATTTTTAGTGTTTGTAACGTCTGATATACTGCTTGGGAGAATTGATTTGTTTGACACGAAGCTGTGGTTTTGCAATTTGCAAGTGATTTTTCAACTGAGTTCCATAGCAAATAAGGACGCGCGATTTGTATTTTTAATCTTTTACACAACACCTTTAAGTGCAAACATGGACAAGGATGTATAAATTTTATGTGTACAAGACGACTCATGTAGAGTGAGTTATATATCTCCATCTATATTAAAAATATACCCGGGACTATATGAAATTAGTAAAATCCAACTAGCGGTCTATTATCAATGCTGCGTTCTGATTGGTTGAGCTACCACTAGGCTATATGTTATATCCCACTAGTAGCGAAAAGCGCGGGCTTTTTGGCGGCAAAAAAGGATTAAAGTCTAGCTTTAACTAGCTTAAATTTTTTCATTCTCGATATTTTTGACCAACTAGTTGGATTTATACTATACTGAGTCAATAGCGCATTCGGCCTTCGGCCTCATGGGCCATTGATTAAGAGGCCATTCGGGCTCAAGGAATAATTGTTAAATATGTTCATTGGCTTTCAGTAGATACAGAGGAAGCGCCGTTTGCCTTGCGCCTCCTCCATTATTGAGTTGCGGCCATTAAGACAGTAGGGAGCTTGAAAGACGTTTCAGTTGAACAACGCACGTCTACCGGAAGTGGACTTTTGGCGTTATTGGGCAGTGGTTTTTGCTCAAATTTTTGGGTAAATCGTCTCTGTAAGAGTAAATACACTTAGCAACTAATACAAATTGTGATTGTAATTTGTTTACCCACGGAGCACTTAGGAGTTCTTAAGAACTCGTTGAAACCGCGTTGACCGGGCGTTCCAGATCGAATTGGAGTTTGGTAGCGTCAAGCCATATTAAAAGGAAAAGGTTTTGACTTCCGGTTTTTCTCAAAAACGTCTTTGCTTTAGCTTCTTATTTTAGGTTCAAACCCTTGCTTTAAGTGCAAACTTTGATATACTAAGCATTATTTTTGGCTTCTCTTTCGAATTCAGATTACACATACGGTAGCTTGCATCCCTGCCAAGTGGCCAGCACAGTCAAAAATCAGACCTGTAGCACTGTCATTGCCTCTTACAAAACGCTTCCCGTAAAAGAAGTTAGAGCCCCGATCTGGATAAGAAAAAGACGGCGTCATTGTTAATGAATGCAGTAATAAGCGCCTTTAACTCGCACTTTTTAAGTCAACCAGGTGACAGCAAAGAACTAGCACTAGAGTTTATTTATTTTATCTACTTGCTACCAATTTGCAAAATTCTCAAGAAAGATCATTTTGAAAGAGGCCAATTAAATAGTAGATAGATATAGGTGAATGTCGTCTATGGATGGATAGATAGATAGTTATTGCTCATTTGAGTGATCAAGCATTTCCTTTCCTGTCATCCAATGTAGCAGTTTTCTGAACGATTACAATTAATGATATTTTTATATAAACGATTGCCCTGAATAATAGTATATGATGAAAGTTCGAATTTTTAGAATAAGACTAGTTTATACATATACCTGAACAATGGCCATCCCATTTCCAACCATTTTGAGTGGCTTCTTCACTGGTAAGTGGATAAATGGAAAATTTGCCAAAAGTCACTGAAAAGAAAATATAAATGCGTTCTACCTTTTATTCGAGATTGAGATAAAATAGATCCTCAGGAGGAGCCGACTTTTAAAAACAGTTCCACAATATTACTTTCTCCGAATGAAACGCTTTTGAAAGTAGATTGGTTTTTATTAGGTCGCACAAAAGCCTGTCCACCGTCGTCAAACTTCTAATAAAAGCGTTTTTGGTTTCATTCAGTGGGAATTCAAATTACAACTAAGTAGCTAGAAACGTGGGAATTGATGTACAAAATAATTAGTTACCTAAATATCATGGCATTTTCTCAAAGACGAGCTTCTTTTCGTTGAAAATCGAAAATACTTCGCTCCCGAATACAAATATGTTTACAAATGGTGCTGATCAACTTTCAATTTTCAAACACTCAATACTCTTTAGTTTAGTAATTAACAGGGGGTTGATAATACATTTATCTTTGAACAGTGAAAGTAACAACCTTAGCTTTAAAGAGTTTTTCTTAGCTTTTGCAAAATCCTCTCATTTGACAGCGCGGACCACAAAAAAAGCACAATCCGTTGCCAGGCGCATTAATATAGTCTAATGAACACTCATATGTGAGTGCTTTACAGAAACAGATATTAGCACAATTGCAACCATGGAGATATGGATCTGAAAACGTTGGTTGGTTATCAATTGGCAACAACTACTGCTTTAGAGTCAAATGCGCGGGTTCGCTGAAAAATAAACCCCACTTACCTCTTAGCTGGTCCCATTTTGAACCTAAGCGAATAAAACATTGCACCGCTTTAGCGTAATGCTTTTAAGCTAACCCAGAAAATAAGAAAAAAAATAAAGAATAGGCTTTCTTTTGCCCATGTTATTGAATCCATGGTGTTAATTTCAAAGGACTACAATACAAGCCTTATGATGGGTAAATTGTGCGTAAAAATAAGTTTTTTTCGCTTGAATTTAACTATGAATTGAAATATAAAAAAGAGTAAACGCGGAGATGGAGTTTTATTCAAGCTTTTTTTTAAATTTGTAGTTTCTTTACTTTAATCCTCTTCAATTTTTTACGGGATCAGTCGTTCTTCCTCGGGACCTCACAGGTCCCTGATTCTCTTTTAGAGGGTTGGATAGACAGAAACCCTTTTACTGCGAAGTTTGTGACAAATTTTTGCGTCCTGAACGCAATTTAACCCACGATGATCCGCCATGTATAATTTAGTCTTGTAAAGATAAAAAAGGGGGCTAATAAAAAAGCAAAGCTTGCATGGTATCAGTGATGTATGGCTAGTTCGCTCCCGACGAATCAGAGTTGCTTCGTTTGTTATCAAAACATATTTAAAACTAAAATACATCTATTTTTTTTGGAAAGTGGTAGCACATACATACCTTTACCTTCAGCATATTGAACGATTATATGAAAACCTAAAACCAGGAATAAAGTCTTCATAGCTTTTGCCATGTTGGGCGGGACTAAGCCAATTTTATACGTCGGTGAAGCTCAGTGGAAACCAACAATATACACCCTTTAACACCGTTTAAGGAAGTTGCGTCCGCCTTGTGAATGAGTTTAAGCGACGAAAAGTTAGGAAAAGTGTCTACCGACGAAACGAAAATACACAAAACGGGTAGTTCAAATACACGTATTGTTTTAAGTGGGAGGCATCTTTCTAATATTGCAGATATTTCACCTTTGTTGTCTCTAAGATCTATGCATATGAATCTATTTCTGTACGCTGTATTAAATGTAAACTATAGTTGATAGAAATCCGGTCGATTAATAATCGAAGGATACTAAAATTATGACACCATTAACCCAGTTTTATTCTCAGCTTAAGAGAAACAGTGAAAAAAATCGTCCGCCTGGGATTTAGAGATTGCCTTGAATGAAGAGTTTTTAGTTTTTTTTTTTAGTTTAAGTCCAAAGAACAAATTTAAATAACAATACAAATGATTATTTAAACAGTCATTTAAAGACAATTTCCTCCCGCAAACAGAGTCCGAATTTCGACTAATGAGCTTCAAGAAAGTAAATTAAAAGAAAAAAATTAACTTCAACATGAACACAAAAAAGTAACTGAAAAATTGTTCCTGATTTTACCACTTTAATCTGATCAAATTTAAACTTGAATAAAACAACAACGATCGATTTTAGTTACTTGAATCTAAATGTTGATCAACAATGTTTGCTTTCATCTTTTTTTAATATCCAACATAAAGTAGAGGCCATTTATAAAACTGTCCGGAATATGAATAAAAATAAGATTAGTTATATGTTTTGCGCATCTGAATGTAACTTTACTTGCAGTCGCTTTTCGTTTGCGAAAAAATGATCTTTGCGGAGTGCCGCACGGTTTTGACCTTCGTCCAATTCAAAAAGCGGACGAAACGTGGACTTGGATAGAAAAAAGGGAACATTTAGGAAGAAGTTCCAGTAAAGAGAAGAAAATTTCAATAATGCGAATCTGTTACAAGAATTTATTCAACTAAGCATCCTCCGATCAACACCTTTTATACACTTTCAGTGATTTTTTATTCTCTTTGATTTTTTTTGTTTGTTTTTTAAAACGAGAGCTGTTTTTATTTAGTCTCAGTTCAAATAAAGATTTCGAGTTTCTTCAAATATACCATTTTTCATCTATTCCAAAGGTTCTGCGTACTAGTTAACAAGTCAACCGTCGTAATGTTCATTTGTATGAACGACGGTCACATGAACAGTGGTTGTCCTGTGGACTAACCTCGGCCAGAATCGCAGATCCTGGAACTAGCGTCGCTAACAGTCTTTCTCGTTTGTATTCTGGCAGCCATCTTGCATTTCCAGCAATCGGAAAAATGGGGGAAAACTGCAGAAAATACCACGAGCACTAAGTACATTTTAACTTTTACATGATTTAAAATGGCGCCAACCGTTCAGGATGGGCAAAAGAGCAGAGATCAAGAGCGGAGGTGAGCTTTGATTTCCTTAGCGTTGCAATCTTCGGGTCGTAAATCAGTGTAAACAATCGGGACTTAGTATTCACGCTGCCGTCGAACTACAAACACGTACCATTCAAATTGATATAAGATGGCTCTTCATAAGTTTTGTGAATTATCCGTTAAGCTATGAATATCTTGGCGAATTTGATCAGAAAGGTGGCTGTAAACCCAACCTTCTAATTTCTTTCCATCAAAACAACGTACATCATTTAATATTATAATGTGCATTAAATACTTCACTTCAGTAAGCTTATGTATCGGTCAAATCGAAGCTTCAACATGCCCCCCCGGGCAACCCCCCGGGCATTTGACTTTTTTGAAAATTATTGTTCAAATTCCCCCCTACCCGGGCCAAAATGCCGTTCAAATGCCCCACAGTAGGGTCCATTCAGGTGAACAAATGCCCCCACCTCAGGGACATTTCACAGGCACATAATGACAGAAGGACGGCAGAAACGCCTTCAGTTGCCGAACAAAATCTTTATAAATACAGATTCAATATAACAAAAACTGAGAAACACTGTTAGCATATTTACTACAAACAAACTTCTCGTGCAAAGCGGCGGAAATCGCTGCTACAAGGTCACTGAATGCTCAGCTTTTCTTCGTGTGTCATGCAACATAGAAAACGTTCTATAAAAAAACTCCCACCTACTACATCATGACCATTTCACTGACATCAATCATCGCTCACCTTATACATGCGGCAGGTCAAAGTAATATTGATCTCTGTTGAGCTTTTTATTGTTGCATTGAATGGCTGGTAGTAGGTCATTGTAAACACAACTTTTATACATTCATGTATTCAAAACCAAGCTTGTTTAAGCCCTTTCCTCGTAACCAATTGGCCACAAAGGCACAATCTTTTCCACGAAAATCCCCCAACACCGCGTCCCCCATGATAGCCCACCACGCAAGAGATTTCACATGAAATCGTGGGTGCAGTTCAAATTCCCCACCCCTAACGCATGGAGATCAAATTCCTCACCCCCTGGAAGACTCTGATAATCAAATTCCCTCCTCCCCGAGACGGCAAAGGTGTCAAATGCCCGGGGTTTGCCTTGGGAGGGGGGGGGGGCATGTTGAAGCTTCGATTTGACTGATACATTAGTGCCTAATTTCATGCCCAAAGGGAACTGACGTTTGATTGGTTGAAATTTTGTATCCTTCCCCGACCTTATCCATGTATTCAGTAACAAAATGAGAGAGAACTTATACACAAAATTTACCTTCCATGAATTAAGAAGAGGAGGGACTATTAGATCATGGCATTATGAATTTATTCCAGCTTGAATGAGTGTTTCTATATGGCGCTTTATTTATGTATGTTTTTTAATGAAACGAGTGGGCCCCAGTTGTTGAAAAGGTGGATAACACAATACATCGGATGAATCACTATCCACTGAAAAGTATTAGGAGAACTAGTAACATGTGATAATTGCTTTCTCCACTGATTGTGATTTGTCCAGTGAGTAAAAATGTTATTATCCAACTTTTTAACAACTGGGGCCAGAATAATAAATTATGTTTGATGTACCGAAAAGTTACTTAAATGTTAGGCCAACAAGTTTGACTGGCAGTCATTGCACTCAGCAGGTTATGAATGTGAAATTTACCCATACTTGTCTTTTTCAGGCAGAGCTCATTGCGTTCAACAGTCAGGTAGGAATAATTGTTAGTGTTGGTGGTGTATTCAAAGCCAAGACAGAATAAAATCTGCAGTTTTCAGCAATATACTTGATACAAACATTTTTAATGAGCTTGAAAACACTCTTTTTGGAGTTAAAATTGGCATTTACATGTACTGTAAAGTTGAGAATGTGTTTAAGTGAGTCTGTGCATTATTCCAAACTGAATTAGAATTTGGAAGTGTTGGTTTTTGAGTAAAGGGGAAAAAGGGAGTACCAAGAAATAAACCTCTCAGAGCGAGGGAGAGAACTAACAGCAAATTTAACCCACTTGTGGTATCAAGGCTGGGTTTTCAACCTGGGCTGCATTGGTGGGATGCGATTGCTCTCACTACTACATAACCCTCTCTTCCCATATTATAGCCTATTATAGCACCATAGTAAAGCCTATTGCAGCACGCACTGGATAACGTGGTATCTGTACATTGTACATTGTACATGTGTTTGTATTAATGAGGCTAACTATCTATAAGAATCTGTGGATCAGACTAGGAAAACAATGGGCCAGTTATTTAAGTGGAGTTTAGCCCGTGTTTAACAAAACCTTGTTCTAAGTCATTTTCAGTTTGCCCAACTTTTTCATCTTAACATCATTTATAGTTAACAATCTCAATAAAGCATATTGCTTAGACTGGAAAAGCACTCATTAGGGACCTTTAGATTCTGAGACGAGAAAGACTACAAGTACAAGATTTTCTCAATACTGAGTATTGCTCACCTGAGAACCAGTGTCATTTTGGCGGGAAAACGTGATAGCCATTGTCATGCTACTACGAGTTTAGTGAGAATGTTGTTGTGACGGGAACAGTATAAACGTAAGAAGTTTTATCATTCTTCTACCGGAAGAGGGCCTAGCCTCCTTCAGTATGAATAACCGTGCAAACTTTTTTGGTGAAAAAAAGTAAAATGAAACTTTCCAGGGTGTCTTGGTTTTGAGAACACGCGCAAAAACTTTAAGTTAAATCTCGTACTCGTATTCGTTCTCGTCCTCAAATCTAAAGCTCTCTATTTTCTTAAATCAACCCACTAAAAAAGAGATCTGGAAGTCCAGTGATTTCTTAAACCACAGCTTAAGTTAGACTTCATTTAAATAATTGACCCAATGTGTCTGTCTGCATTAATGGGGGTCCAGGTTAACTGACGAGCTTGACCCAGGGATAAGGAAAACTGTCTGTAATGTCAAGGAGTCCATATCAAGCAGGAAGTGGGGTTCAACTGTAGGGAGTGATAGGGATAACCTCTGACGTTTCCTTTCATGTATCCTTACATAATAAATATTTGATTTGATTTTATTTGAACTGGGTTCTCTCAGGTTTTTTCTGTTTACATGTGTGTGTAAAAATATAATTAAAGGATAAGATTTAATATCACTGAAATCTTTCACATGCTGAGTAAAAGATTAATGATATTACCAAATGAAACATTAATGTTTTGTTTTTCTTTTGTTTCTATTGTTTCAGCAAAGCAGACTTTGTCTCCAGGGTAAAGTACAACAATAATCTACCAGACATTCCTTTTGATGCCAAGTTTATTGCCTATCCCTTTGAGTCAAACCGGTGAGTATAATACTTTATTAGAAGGCTTAAATTGTGTGTTTTAAGTCTGTCGTTTTTCTTGTAGCGACGATGATGATAAAACTCAGACTCTCTTTTGAATAACAGATTTGTGGAATACAAGCCAACCTCACTTGAGAAAAACTACAGACATGAGATGTTGACAGAGGTTGATCTTGGGGTCAATATTGATCTTATTGACCCTGATACATATGCCCTGGATCCTAATGGTAAGGAGATAATAAATATGATAGTGATGATGATGATGGTGATGATGATGATGATAATGTTGATGATGCTGATGTTGATGGTAATGGTTATAATACTTAAGGGAACACCTAAAATGCGAAGATTTAGTGGTTGGCTTTCTTATATACATGTAAGGTGGTTGCTTACGAGATTGGAACCACATGGGGTCCCTTCCGAGAAGAGGCCCCTACACATCAACGTTTGGGCAGAGAATTTTTTGCATGCAATATCTAAGTTATGATATGTGTAGTTCTACATGTATGTTGTTTTGAAAGCTTTCCATATACTTCGAGTGGTGTAGTACGTTTAACTACAGTGAACAAAGAAACCACGCCATGCAAAAGCAAGTGGTCACTTGCATGAGGTTTAAAACAATGAAGGGCAAAAAGTGACCTCGGTGGCTTATGAGAGACAGTCGCTTAGAAGATGTTTTTAATATACAAGTGCTTTGGAGCTTTAAAGCCACGTACAAATGGACGCAACAACTCATGTAACATTGTTGGGCCAAGAATGTTTGGAGTTGTTGCTTATATTTGCACGTAGCTAAAAGTTTGACGGGGTTCAAACTTTGCGCAAGAACTCCCAACAACATGCAACAGGGTGTGCAAGTGGATGCAACATTTAATGTCCAACAATGTGGTGTCCATTTGCACAGGGCCTAACTGGGAAAGTTTTTGAGTGTAGTCGCTCGTGGGAGACGGTTAGTTTCAGCAGGTAGTCACATATGGAGGTTCAACTGTATTTAAACTGGCTCTTTTGTGGGTTTACAGTGCAAACTCTTTTTTACAACACCCAAGGAAGTACAAAAATACAAGTTAATTTTACCACTGCGTGATGTGTTGTGCAAGAAATGTGCATAAGAAACAAACCAATCAGAAAAGGATGTCGATATTCCTTTAAACCAGCATAATATTAGAAACAGTGTTTGGAAGCCATTACACTGATGGATTACATCAAGGTGTTTAGTGACAGATCCAATGGCACTGTAAGCTGGTTCAAGTCAAATTAGAGTGCTCAATGATATTTTCAGCCAGACAGTGATTTGGTCTGACCTTTTCCTTTTGACGTTTGCTTAATTTCTTGTTGTCGTATTACAGTTTCCCTTGACCCTGACGACGAAAAGTTGCTGGAAGAAGATCCAATAAACTTACCAGATAAGAAACGGTATGATAACATCTGCAGTCTACCCTGGCATCTCATGTCTTATTCTTTTCATCTTGAACCTTACCATAGTACAGTTAACTATAAATTACAGTCTTTACCAGCCTTGACTTTTACTATTAAAAACAGTGCAAGTTTGAATAATGTTACTTGAGCTTTTGCTAGTTAAACGTGCGCCTTCATTTTGTTTCTATTTCTATGAACATAGTGACAGGGACTGTTTGACAGAATTACAGTTATGACCCAAATCATTTTGTTTAATGTTACAAAACCGTGCCATCAACCGTCATTCCTGAATAAGGCCAATGGAATGTACCCTTGTTATTCATTCATTTGATTGTTAAATTTCGTACATTTGAGAGAATGACTTTCGTATTTTTTTCTCCTTTCCCTGATGTACAGGACTGCGCATCACAACAGAAATGTATCCTGGCTCAGAAGAACCGAGTATATTTCAACTGAATATAACAGAAGTCGCACAAGTAATGAAATGGTGGAAACAAAGTATGTCAAACTCTTGAATCCAATTAAAAAGCCCTCATAGACAATATTATTATAATTATACAAAGCAGCTTTTTTATTTGGAAAAAAGGAAATTGATGCAAATTGACAGTGGCAACTACAATCCTGGCGAAAAGGTTTTAGGACACCTCACCTTTTTCACGTGTTTTTGTATGGAATTTGCAGCTAAGCTGTGATACACACTCATAAACACGGCCTTAACAAGATTATTTTCCACCCCCCACCCCCCTCCTGAACAAAGAACAAAGTTCAGGTCCTTAACGTGTGCAGGATAATGTGAAAGGTGTTTGACTTGTAACACCCAACACTGTCCAAGTGGGGAGAGGGGTCAACTTGAATTACATTTTCCTCACCTGAAAGACAAAGTGTTCCAAACCTTTTGACCAGGATTGTAGTTCTTAGGATGTGTTTTGACCTTGTTTATTGTTCTCTGACTCACAGGGTTGGCTTTAATGTAAAAAAGAAATTCCAAGGAACAGACATTTACAAGGTACTGTAACTTGTCTCTGCCTCTGTTGCTGTGGTATATGTATATTAATAATGGTAATAGGACTGAGTGGAGTTCAATTCGGTGTGTAATCATACAAGTGATTAACAAAATCAGACAACCGCTTAACAGGAGTCTGATTTGTTTAATCATGAGTATGATTTCAGACCAAACTGGATGACACAAACTTCTGTCACCAATTAATCAGTTCTATAACAAAATTTGTTATATTTCAGGCTTTTTTCTAATTAAGACCCAAGGAATTCCTGGAGTTTTTTTTGCTAGCAGTGAAAAAAGCCGCTTAAGTGTGCATGTGTGATGGCATGTACTGTCCTATTACACTGTCCTATTAGTGCAGAAATCAGGACAGTTGATAGCCAATCAAATTTGAGAATTTTGTTCATAGTGTTTACTAGTACATTGCTGTTAAAGGAACTGAACTCAATATACGAGAGCTTAAGTGTATTATTGGTTTCATTGCAGGATCGTGAAAGTCAGATAGCAGCAATTGAAAGTACCTTTGATGCAGCACAGAGACCTGTAAGTAATGTCAGACTGCATGTACTTGATGTGTAAATTTTAAATTGTTTTAAAGGCAAATCACTGTGCAGGCATAAATGATCATGCAGTGTACATACCCTATCAAAATGTACGTCTTATAAAGAAAGAAATTCCGTACACAAATGTAGCTAGATGTAATAAACTATAACGTCTTCCCCATAACTGTGGCTTTGCACATTTAGTGACACTAAGCTTTCAATCCTGGTCATTTTTGTTGTGTCACTGAGGCTTCGTTCACACAGCACCAGACAAATTCTTGACTAGCTGAAAAATTTGACTTAACAATTCCTTTACATGGAACAGCTCAATATTTTCGCTCTGTTCACATGTGACAACGACTTTGTTGTACAAGAAGACGGTAATTGTGCTCACACCATGCTGGTCAAATTTTTATTATACCAGCTAAAACTTTGACCACTATTCTGGTATTCAAATTATTGAACAGTTAGGGTTGTTCCGTGTGAACAAAACACCTCAACACATGAATATTCAACCAAACAAAAAATTGTCCAGTACTGTATGAACGTAGCCTGAGTATTAATTTTGCTTGTCTGTTTCAGATTCTTCGCCATCCAACCAAGCCCAATGTCACACCCGTGGAAGTCTTACCGGTCTTCCCAGATTTTCAGGTAGTCTTCACACATTTACATGAAGTAATCTATCAAACACAGGACACATAGTTTCATCACGTAACAAGAAAGTAGAAAATGTGATGGGTAGAGGAGTACTTTTGGTGGGCTGTCTTTGTTTTGTTTGATATTGTCAAGATGAACACTTTGTAGAGTGTTTGAGAAAAAAGTAATCCATTATGTTGTAAACACATCAATTGCATGTAGTAACACAAGCAAAGTACAAGTGTCTGTGCTCAACATCAATTTAAAAACACACACCAAGGCTGTGCTCTAAGAAAAATTGAAGGGAGCCCATTGTGAAATCCAGATTGATTTCTATGAAAAAGCTGAGACTTTCTAGTCGCCAGAGAACAAAAGTTAGGCACCACGGGCCACCGGGCTCTGCTAGAGCACAGCCTTGCACACCATTACAACTGTATATAAATTATTGAGCAAACTAGCCCACACACAACTGTATCTAGGTATCTAGTTGAAAGAAAACAGTGCATACAGAATGTACAGTACCACCCAAGTCACTTGCGTCACGATCCTTGAGGCTTTAGACTCGATTCCTTTGAGTTTTAAGAGGCAAGTTCAGAGTCGATAAATACAAAAATGTATAATAAACTCTTACTCTTGACTGATCTCTTGAGTAATAATTAAATCAAACAGACTTCACTCTGTTTCAAAGGATCATGAAGTTGAAACATCTTCTGCAATCGCCTTGCTTACCTTTTGTGATGAAACAAAATTTGAACTTTCAAAACATATCAGCACACAAAGGGCCAGTGGAACAGCCTACAAAATTCCTTATACAGTTATTTATTTACAAACTTCACCAAAAAGCCTGGTACACTCACAGAGCAAGCTCCACTATGAGCTCCAGTACAAAGAGTAATACAAATAAACAAATGAATAAAAGGATGCAACAGTGTTTTCTGCCCTTGACTGCTGGCCTTAACACTCATAGTGTAGCAAGTAAGGTACCCTACAATTTTTTCCAATTGATGTTTGAGATTGAACTAAGTCTTTTTTCTCATGTTCATTGTTACCTATATCCAGATGTGGGCCCAGCCCTGTGCTCATGTTATATTTGATACTGACCCCACCCCGCGAGGGAGAAATGGGCCTGCAGAGGAGGAAGAAATGTCTCAAGCGATGATCAGGTCAGTAACAGAAATGTTAACCCATTGGCTCTTGGAAAAATGCCTTTTGAAGCTAGTCAAGCTGTTTTCTGGTTGCTGCAATAGAGGGTCATCCGTTACTCCGACAAATTTATGCATGGCATTGTATTGTATTGTCTTTGCATTACGATACTGTACAAAAACGTAACAATAAAGAAAGAAAGCAAAATAATGAGAAATTTAGCAAAGTCATGCATACAAAACTGTAAATTTGTCAGAGTATTGGACAAGTATGCCGCAGTACTGCTAGGCTTAAAGGAATCAAACCTTGCCAAAACATCTCTGATAATTATATCAAGCACTATACTCCCTTCTGTTTCCAGTGCTACATGTCAACTTCTAAAGTTTTGGCATGCACAAAAGGCAAAATTTCAAGATAATTACCCCCCCCCACCCCCTCTTATGTCTCCTGTACCTTTTGCTTTTTCTGGGCATTGGCTTCCTTTAATTTTTGGTGGGAAAAGGTTTTGCAAAAACTGATTAGATGGAAGGTGGGTAGTGCAAGATTTTCATTGGATTTTTCGGGCCAACTTTATATGATATCATTTATGGTCCTTTGCATTTTTCCCTACTTTGTTTGACTGAATTGGCTCATTCAGATATGGTTTGACCATATGCTACATTTACCTCCAAGTATGTTGATTTTCTAGAGTGGAAAGTTTATATGAAGCATTGTTTTTTCTTCTTTTTAGAGGTATGGTGGATGCAAGTGGAGACCAGTTTGTTGCTTACTTCCTTCCAACCAGAGAGACCATTGGAAAGAGAAAAAGAGACCTTGAAACTGAAATGGACTATACTGAGGATGAGGAGTGAGTAGAAGTGAACTCTTTCAAGTGCAGCTCAGTGTGCATGCATTACATAGAGCTGACATTTCGCATTGCCACCAAAGCTTTCCTCATAAAATGAAGTCTGAGAAACCAGCGCAGAAATTTCATACTGATGAAGTTTCACTACGCAGTTTCACTATCAGTTGTGCTACGAGGCCAATCAGAAGCATTACCTAGATCTGGGTAATGGAATGTCCAGTATTGAATTTCTGCAGTCATTTCTCAGATGTCCGATGTTATTTGCCCCACTTCAACTATCTGCTGATAGAAATCATGAGTTCGCTGTTTTGCATTAGATAAAATTAATAGTATACAGTGAAACCTGTATTAAGCCGACACCGTATTAAGCACACACCCTCCATTAAGCAGACAGTAGCCGAAGTCCCCAAATTTATTTCGCTTATTTACTTTAAATGAAACCGTTATTAAGCGGACACCTCTATTAAGCGGACGCGGACACCTAAATAGTACCTGAAATGGTCATTTCTATTGTTGACCACCTGTATTAAACGAACACGTGAATTTAAATTCCAGCACCCAACATGCCAGACGCTGGGAATGCGAAAGATTGCCACCCACAAATTTTTCCATTTTTACTGTTTCACAGTACAGTATTGTTTTCTATTTCGTTTTGTTTCTATAGAGCTTGTTTCACTCATCTAATTTCTTCAAATTTGAGTTGTAATATATGTTTATGGTACTATGATCAATATTATTGGTCCACTTTAATAAAGAAATTAATGGAAACGTATATCGTCATAGTCTCTGGGAATATTCTAAACGTTTCCACTGTTCATTTGAATGGCATTTGACACCTCATATGACATTATTTATCGAAACCTGTATTAGGCGGACACCCTGTATTAAGCTGACACTACAGCATTCCCCGAGGGTGTCCGCTTAATACAGGTTTCACTGTATTTGACATCCTTTTTTTTGCAATTATTCAAATTAGAATTAACTTTTTTTTTTCTTTCAGATATGAATACAAAATGGCACGTGAATACAACTGGAATGTAAAGAATAAAGCAACCAAAGGATACGAGGTATGATCATAGCTCCCAGTCGCCTTATTTCAAAGCAAGTGGGATTATTAAAACACGTTATTGTAGAATGTTTTATTATTTTTGGTATAATATACAATGCTCTTCCTAAAAGAAATGCCTGCACTAGCAGTCAAAAGTATTGAATTGCCTTGCCTTAATGCATGTAGCTAATGTGGTTCTCTTCTTTCATTTACCTGACTATCTATTCTCTTTGTGATAGGAAAACTATTTCTTTGTTTTCCGAGAAGGAGAGGGAGTTTTCTACGATGAGCTGGTAACAAGGTAAGGAAGTCTAAGACATTTCAAATGATCTTGTGTCCTCAAATTAGGTTGTGTAATATTATTGTCAGTGATACTGTGAAGCGGTGGTTGAATTCTTGGCACAATTAGCTCCTACTTTGGCAGCTGTTTTTGCACATGTAGCTGAACTCTGATGACAAACCATTTTTAAATAATGAAAAAATCCGAAAATAAGCCTCAGGGCTTATATTTTTCAAAGGCCCTTTTTGAGGGGCTTATTTTCAGAGGGGCCTATATTGAGAGGGGCTTATGTACGGAGGGATATTTGTGTTTTAAAATTGATTGGGCTAGCTTGTAGTGGAAAGGAAATTTACCATTTTTGCTTTGTTTCACTTTGTATTGGAGGGCAAATTCCAAATACAAGCCCCCCGGGGGCTTATATTGAGTGGGGCGATTTAATGGAGGGTTTTTTGCGTTACAGTTTTGGGGGGGACTTATATTTGGAGGGGCTTACTTTCAGATTTTTACGGTATATTCATGTCTCCCCGCTGTTCTGTTTTTACTGGCACTTTGTATGAACATGTTACTCTGTCCGTAGACTAGCTAGCAAAATATTACTGTCAAGGCAGGTGAAGCATACCCCCCAAGATTCCATTAATGAATTTATTATTCAAAAGTTGAATGCATTGGTAGTTAAGTTGTAGATTTTGGATTCATCTGCATTCTTGCATGCATAATGGCAGTGAATTCACCTCAGTTTTCCTATATTTGATGGCAATGTCTTCAAAGCAATTTTGTCCGTTTAAAGGTTTTCTAATCTGACCAAGTACAGAGAAGTTATTGTAAAAAATTGACTGCTCATTATGTATGCAGGAATGCAGACTTGAATTTGATACTGGTTGTGTAACAACCCACACATACATTTTTCAAATAAATTATTCATAAATGTGATATAGGGAGGTATGCTTGACCTACCTAAGTCGACTGTAAAGGTGTAAGACTCTCAGTAACCCAAGCACCCCAACCTCCTTCATAAGTAATGAAAATGTAGGGTTTGAGTTAGTCTAACTCTGTAGTATTACTGTACAATGTATAATTACATTCATTTGTATAATTTATTATCTTATTTTAGGGTTCATCTGAGCAAGCGACGAGTTCGTGGTGGAGCTGGTGGTGTGCAATCAGCTGTTTCACAGTTAGTTGTTAAACACAGAGAGTTGGATGACAATGAAAGAAAAGCACAGGTTAGAATAACATATTATGTATGGAGATTTGGATGTCCTTGTTTGTAACAGCTGTAGGCCAGCTGGTAGATGGAAGTTTTACAAATCTGGCAATGATGGTGTCAAAAATGGTGTTGCAACTTAATTGACTAATCAGATCAATAACCACAGTATACCATCAACTGACGTGATACAACTCGCTGTGACTATGAAGATGACTACCCCACAGGTTGTCGAAACGTCTGTCACTGTCAACAACAGTCCTATTCAGGACTACGTTCACCTGGACGATCATACTCAACCTACTTATGAAATGGTGACTAGTGTTGGGAATCAGCTGAGATTTCATAATCAATCAGAGAAAAAAGACCCTTCCACGTTTTTTCTTTTAATTTTTATTATAGGGCAGTAAGCGAATATCCATCGATAGAGGGCCTTAGAATACAGTATATTGCTCCAGAAAGTTGTGAAATTAACTGCAACTAACTGTTGCTAGTGAAAAGTTGAAAAAGAAAGTGGGTCTATTAGACTGATCCAACCAATCAATCTTTTTTTTATCATAGTAATAATAATAATAATAATAATAATAATAATAATAGTAGTAACTCATGTTTTAACATTTTTATTTGTGCAATAATAACTTCTTTTATTTTTCCTCAATACTCAATTGAACATTTCCCATAAAATTATTGATTATTGACATCAAGGTTTTTGATTACAATCAATGACTGGCACATGAAACAATGAACATGAACATTAACATACATGTACAGATAAATGTATACACACACATGTATGTACTGCAAGGACATTTCCATCATTCTTGATTACCTTTCAAACTTAAGACTGTAAGACTGCTTCGAAAAGTTATTGCCTCTGGGATTTGGTCAACTTGGTTTCCTTGTTTGTGTGTTTCTTATAAACATTGTTTTATCATGATTTAATGGCATGTTCAAGAGCTGAACTCTAGTTGTGGTTTTTTTCTGTCCTCAGCGAATGCGCATGACTCAGTTAGATACTGCTGTGGCTGAGGAAGAAGAAGAGGAATTTGAAGAAGAAGAGGGTGATGAAGATGAAGAAGGTGCTGATGAAGCAGAAAATGAGGAAGAAAATCCTGCTGAGGATGGGCAGGAGGAGGAAGAAAAACAAGGGAATGATAGTGAGGATGAAGACATGAAAGATGATGATGATGATGACGACGAAGCTGAGAAAGAGAGTAACGACGAGAAAGATGAAAAGGAAAGCAGTGAAGAGGAAGGGTCAAGTGGTGAAGAGTCAGCTAGTGATGAGGACGAAGATGATGGCTGAAGAATTGCTGCCAAGCAGAGAAATGGATATTAATTTTCTCTAAGCTTTTAGAGATGGACGTTACACTAGAGACACATGAAGTCATGATCAATTCAAATCTTTTACACCCAAGATGTATGGTACTCATGCATGTACATACAGTACAAAAAGAGTTTTTTGGCCATTCTTTTATTTATGTAGATTTTCATTCTATTGATTTCAGTTTGCCTCTTGATCAGAACTGAGGTAACACCATGGTGGCTCTTAGAGCTCATCTGTACATACTTTTGTACACATGAAGGTAACTGGGCGATGTTCACTGCAAAACCTTCCAAGATCAGAGTACATAAGAGTTTGCAAATCATAATAGCCCTTATTATGTATTTCTTTCGAACTTGTATAATTATATTCACATAACATGAAAAAAGTGATTCAAAATAGCAAGCTCGTAGGATGAACATTATGGTCTCATAGCCACTGGAGAGCCAAGGTGATACTTAAATATCAAAAAGTCTTCATGGTTGTTCCTTTCAAAAACTCTGTTTAGTACAATAGACATGTTGGCATCATGTTAAATTCCTTGGTAGAGCCCAGCTGTGATGCCCATGACATCAATGAATCTGTCCCCTCGCGGTGCAGAGGAACAGAAATAAACAGGATATTTTACTTTGTTCTGAATGTCATTCCTTTCCAGTACAGCCACTCCGTTGCAGCCTCATACTAAACAGTATTGATGTTCACTGTGTCTGTAAATATCACTGCCCTGTAAGAGTTTATCAAGCGAGTCTTCTATTTGATGCAATGTCACATGATGAAACTTGTGAGAAGAATGAAGAACATCCATGATGGCCCATTTGGACACTGGTGAACCTGATGGGGCTAAAAATAACAAAAGGCAAGTTAGAAGACATTAGTGGACTTACCATTGATTTCTGTTTGACTGACTCACTGATTATCTGAAAAACTGACTGATAATTATACTGGCAACACTCTTCTCTAAAAAAATGTGGGCACTTGTTTGAAAGAGGGGATTTAATAGAGGATTTATGGTAACTGTAGGGTATATTGATTTCATTGATGACTGACTGACTGACGAATGCTAAATAAGGAAGTAAACTGATTGATTGATTGATTTGTTACTCAGGGTGCAAAGAGTCAGTTTTCCAGCTTGCAATTCGGGCAAGCTGTAGTTAGCAGGTACTAGCCCAAAAGTGATTTTAACTAGCCTGATGATGAGCACGGTTGATAACAGTTCTCTTGTGATTTGAATTCCTTAAAAAATTTCACTTGCTCATCAGGCAAGTTAAGAACAAAAATCACTAGCCCGATGTTAAAATCCACTAGCCCTTGGGCTGTGGGACACGACTTTCTTTGCACGTTGTTACTGTTAAAGTACGGTCAACTCTTTCTTAACAGACACCTCTTTAAGTGGGACATCTCAGTAAAATGGATGCCTAGAGTTGGTCTCTGCCTTTCTTTATTCTTGTTAGTTGACTCTCTATAAGATGGACTTCTTCCTAAGACAGACAAATCAGCGCTGGTCCCAATGGTTGCTGTCTTAGGAAGAGTTCAGTTGCCTGAGTGTATGACCATCACATTTTTTTTTTATTTTTAATCACCTGCGACTTTCCTCATGGCTTTTATGATAGCTGGTCCCAGGTTATGTTCATGACTAATGACCTAGCAGAGAAAAGTCCAAAGATGGATTCCTTAATCGATTAAATAGATGAGAAAAAAAATTAAACAGACAGCATAGGAATGTTAAATGTTTGATCTGAAACTGTAAATAAAAATAATAACAATTAATAATATTATCTATATAGCACTATTGAGCCACTCTTTCATAGCGGTTTACAATGATTATGCTAACCTAAAAACTAAAAGCTAAAAATTGCAACATAAATTAATTACAAAGCATAAAAATATTAATACATATATAAAAAATAAAAGTTAAAAATCTAAAAATACCTGAAGATACATTTACATATCACTATACTACTACATGAGAAATTTCTGCAATTTGATTGGTTTAGAGCAGTGGTATTTCAGCTTAATTTGAAATACCTAAAAGTGAAAATTACAAAACCTTTGCAGGTAGTAGTATAAACAAATAATAGCATGATTTGTACATGATATTTGGCATAAATACCACTCGTGATATTTCAAAATTGCCTCAAATTTCACTCACCTAACGGCTCACGTATAACAATTTTGAAATATCACTCATGCCAAATATCACTACAATGTAAATACGTGTACTAGAAATAAAAGTTAAAGGTCATAGGTTTCTTTAAAAGATGAGTCTTGAAATGTTTTTTAAAAATAGCTGCTGATGGAGATTTGCAAATACTGACACAGAGAGGCAAGTGGATATTAAAAGGAAAGAACAAAATCAACCTTTAAACTGAAAGCCCAGCCTCCAATCCAAAGAAATCAACAGGAAACACATTGAACATAAGTAAGAATTCATATGAATAATGCTAGTTTTGTGAGGTGTAGAAAAGTAGTAAGGACAAAACCAGAGAGAACTTATACATGAGCTCAGAAAAAAAAAAACTAAAAATTCACTTTTTGGAAGAGCCACTGTGGACAGTAGGGGAAACTGGTTTATTTATGGTAAGATTAATTACCTCGTAAAGATCTGTTCGCGAGTCTTTAAAATACACCAATCCAGCTCTCTCAAGACCTTTAATAACTTGCCGGACAACTTTCTTCATCTCATATGATCGATCCAGCTTTTTACCCTGGGGCTTTGAAAGGAATAAGAAGCATGGAATAAAAATACTTATTTCAGTGGAATAAAAAAAAAAGGAATTTGGACAGAAGTGGGTTAAACAAACAAGACAACTAAGTTAGAGGTAGAATGAAGATGATGTGAACTTCGGAAATATAAATTTTTGAATGAGGATATGATCATTGCAGTAGTAAATTGCAATTTAAGCAATAATATATTTGAAAATTAAGAATTTAATTTAATTAATTTGCAGTTGCTTAAATTGCAATTACCACCTAAACAATCATATCTTTGTTTTATAACAATAAGTTAGAGGTGTGTGGACAAAATTTAACACCTTGTCAAACATAATGTTTTAAACCAAAATTATAATGATCATGGAAGAAATTGAAAGCAAAAGCTCACAATCAGGGGACATTTATGTTCCCTGGTCACAACACCTAAAACAAATCACGCGATGATATGAGTTGCATTTTCGTAGGTCCTACTTACAGCGGTACACTCTAGGCGACAAGTTGCAGCAACATTGTGAAGCGACACGTCGCAGCAACAAATCGCTTCTTGTGTACTGGAGAATTTTTGTGAAAATCTTTGTCGCTGTAACTGAATTTTGTTGCCGCAACAAGTCGCACAATTTCAGTCTGATTTGATTTTTTGCGACTTGTTGCAGCGACAAAATTCCGTTGCAGAGACAAAGATTTTCCCAAAAATTCTCCAGTACACACGAAGCGATTTGTCGCAGCGACGTGTCACCTCACCGTGTTGCTGCAACTTGTCGCCTAGTGTGTACCGACCTTTATTGGCTTATCGATAAGTTTGAGAATATGAATACCTGGTCTGTAGATTTCTGGCTGACAGCCTCAGAAGCTATCTGTTGTATATCTGGGTCTAGGCACAAGGTTCTAAACTGGAATGCCACTATTTTATTCTCTTTAATCTGTTGTAAAATGGCCCTCTTCAGTTCCTCTTCCTTTGTCAACTCATCAATTCCTGCAGGAGGATTCTTGAGGGAATTTGTGAACGATTTTTGACTGTAAACATTGTTGCCAAGATTGATGGCTTCTAACCAAAACAAAACTTCAACATTAGGGTCTGATTCTGCATCTGAATATTGTTAAGGCTAAACATTTTTAAAAAGAAAATTTTAACATGTAAAAATCGCAAGAGAGAAATGACAATGTACATTTTTTTCTTTTTCTCATGTCTATAGCAAGTGAAAGAGTTTGTAATGTTTTAATGCCAGGCTCAAACTCATGGTTAGAACCTTAAACTGAACCTTAACAAATACCACCACGCAGTGAACTCATTCACTTTAACCCTTTAAGCCCTAAGAGTGATCAGAATCAAATTTCTCTTTGTATTAATATCAATGCTTTGTAAACAAAGTGGTCCCGAGAATTATCGACATGATCCCGCGACAAGAATGTGCTTAATATCAACCGCCTCTCCACTACCTCTGTAGGAAATGAATAGGGGCAACAAATGAGAATTCAAATTTTGATTGTAGGCTTAAAAGGGCTAGGGCTCCTCCAAAATCTCAAAAATGGACTCTTACAACCTGACTTTTCCCCCTTTGTTCCCAGATAATAAAATAATATTGTAGTTTGTAACTTGTTGTTTACCCGCAAAGCACTAAGGAGTTTTTAAGAACTGAAAGCTGAAATGTTTCGGTGTGTTCCAGATTGGGTAGGACTTTGTTAGTGCTAGTTTTCCAGAGAGTACCCAGGGAAAACTCTCAGTTGGGAGCAGGTAGCGCAAGAACCAATGACAAGATCAACCCACACATGGCATTCAGACACCAGCATTTGAGCCTGGGCCACAGTGATCGGAGGTGAGCGCTCTCACCACTGTGAAATCCACCTTAATGTTCCACCCTAGTTTGAACTGAGTGTATCTCCCAGACCACATCCTTGTTGGGAATCTTTAAAAAAGCATCAAGGGATCCTCTATTAATGCCCCAGGGGCTTATCTATTTGAAGCCCATTTTAGGGGGGGCTTAATGGAGACGGGGGGCTTATTTAATTTGGAAAATACGCTGGTATCAATTCTCCATGAAGAACTAGAATACGAAGTAGAAAAGCTCATGACAAGTAAAAGAAGGTTGGAGGTCATGCAGCCTAAAATCTGAATCAAATCTGAATTTCCAGTTGGTAAATAAACCATCCTGGATCAGTCCACACTATTTTTACAGCCGTGATTTATTTATACAGTCTATCAGTATTTTAGTGAAGAATATTTAGCAGAGGGGAGGGGAGCTTTTTATCTTTCTTCCCCTGAAAAGGGGGAGGGGGTGGCTTAATTACTAGAGGGATGGGGCTTATTTGAGATGGGGGGCTTAATAGAGGATTTATGGTATTGTAGGATTCCTCAGATTTACAAGTAACAAACTAATCTTTAATAAGGAAATGGATACAGATAAAATCAACAGTAAGTTGCCTTTGCTCTCTGAATGTAGAAATCTTTCCTTGTACAGTCACCTGTTGCCCTAGATTGTACAATTCCCTGTTACCACTGCAGGTGCTCTTCAGATCTGATGCAGCTGGGTGCCACTTACAGCACAAAATTGTTCCACTGCCATCATCAACTATAAATTAATAATATTATACTACTACATGAGAAATTTCTGCAATTTGATTGGCTTTGAGCAGTGGTATTTCAGCTTAATTTGAAATACCTGCATGTCAAAATTAAAAAACCTTTTGCAGGTAGTAGTTAATGAACAAATAATAACATGATTTGTAGTGAAAAGAAAAGCTGTTAACAAGCCGTTCGTTAGCCGTTAGTTTTTACCCGTTAAATGGAAAACGGTTAGTGTACGTTTTCCTGGAGAATTAAGGTCACATTTCCTTGAATAAGCGCCCTCCCCCAAATAAGCACCTAACCCCTAGGCCATAATATCAAATATTAAGCACCCTTCTCAAATATGCCTCCCCCTGTCACCTCTCCATCACTTTCCTAAAATAATAGGGATACAAGTTAGAGGGATGCAAAGACCTGCATATCAACCTTGAGGATGATGAGATAATCAATATAAGTATGCTATGCTTGACTACCAGCCACGTGACTGTTTTAACAAATGAGAGACATTTGAATATTGACTTGATGTTAATGTGGATGATGTAGTTTTTTTTTTTGTAATAAGAATTAGCCACAATAAAATTACCGTTCGTTGAAAGGAAAACCACCTGGCCTCTACCAAAATGCCCCTCCATAATTTTAGTGAAAATTTTAAATAAGTGCTCAGGCACTTGTTTGAGGAAATATGGTTATTTTTGTAGTAAGCCCTGTAGTGGGTTATTTTTTGCAGCTATTTTTGAGGGATATAGATTATTGGACAGGGTAGTTTATTCATAAACTGGAGAGCAACAAACTTGACCTCATTCTATTTCTATATTATGGAAAGATTAGGTGAAGGATTAAATTCACCGCTTTGCTTCATTTTGTTTCATCTCGCCAATAACAAATTACTGTTAGCCAACATAAACATCATGATAATCAAAGATATTTAGGTATTGACTGTCAACAGATTTTCTTCAGATTGCATGAAAGAAAATATGTGAAGAATATATTGAGAATGCACATGCTTATTATAGTAAGTCATAAATAAATGTACCTCCATAACTTGTTAATTTCTCCTTTTCATCTATGCTAACAATATGTCCCAGAACTTCCGCCCTTATGACTGGATGGTTATTAGCATAACAAAAGACTCCTAAACAGAAAAGTAACAGTTTCAATAATATTATCAAAATATTTGAATATATATATCAAAATTCTAGTCACATTTATTTCTAGTAATGCTCTCAGGTCAAACAAGAATTTCCTTCATCTGTTATGAATAATAAAGAGCTACGTAGAATTTAATTCCTTTGTTTTCCTACAAACAAAGAAATTAAAATTCTGAATTAAACTAGGCTGAATACGAGTTTTAAGGTGAGAACAGATTTTACAGCTAGACACTTCAGGTGAGTAAAAACTGCTCTATTTACTTCAGTTCTACTTCCTGTTATTTTCCTGATTAAGAAATATTTTTTAAATTTAAAAAGGTTAGTTTTAGTAACATTTATCACCTCTCCATAAAAAGGCATATGAGCTAGAAGTACAGCACACAAGGTTGTACTCCAAGAAAAATATTGTAGGATGCCCAACATTCCAACCCATAACATCCAGAGCCTGACTGTTCAAACTTTGGATAAATCACTATGTCCAGTGGATATGTATTAGGGAAACCAATAATACTGCGTTATAATCCGCTAGATAGTAATTATTTCATCCACCTTTTGAATACCTGGGGCCAGGGTGGCTAGAGTATATCCATTTAGTGCAAAACTACATGTAAGTTTTACTTGTTGTTCAAGGGTAAAGTGAAACACCAGAGTCCACTGGAAACTACTTGAGTGTACCCATAAGTACTTGTACATGAAGGTTATATTCTAGAATATTTCACTCACAAGCTCTTGTAAATCTTTATGATATAATAATTAGGTGAACTTTGCAAAAGAAAATGAATCCAGAGATAAAATTTAAATAGGTATAAAAATTTTGAAACCCTAAAACTCACATTAACAACAAGAATCGTATGGGGTTTAGCACCAAAATCAAGAACCAGAATGCTGCTGGGTAACAAGGAAAATCTGAAAACATTTTGGCTATTCACAGTTATCTTCTTATGTTGTTGTAACACATTTGAATTGATTTTCAGTTTCACACAAGTTTTAAGTCAGTTTTTGTTGCCGAATGTACTGAGAATGAAATCTGTCACTTGTCTCCAACAGTATCTTTCTTGAGCCTTGAACAGAAAGATTTCCCCCAAAGCACATTTCAATCAAAAATAATATGAATGAATGAATAAGGTGAATAAATGAACAACATATGAATAGGGTTAAAAAAAAAAACAAAAACAAAAACAAAAAAAGTAGTTTGCAACAATCTTTTCTTGAAATTTTTTTGCCGTTAGGTTAAAAATGGAGAAAAAAATGCTATAAATGAAATTTTAAAACCAGCGTTTTATTCCACCCTCTCTGACTATTCATGAGTCGTGTTTATTTGATTACCAGATTTCCTTTTCTAATAACATACGCAATATACAAATTTTAAAGACTTATGTCGCAGAGGGGTATCTGACCACGGGGGATATAGTTAGTTATATGTGGCATGGTCGTACGTGAGACAGCGTTGACAGCTGTATTTGTCATACAGTATCTGAAATCTAAAACAAAAGATGATGCTTGACCACTGGCCTGGCAACACTGCACTTTGTAATACAAAGAAAACAAATGAAAAACAATGGAAACAAACATAGAACACTGTTTCTTTCTTTCTAAGGTATGGTGTTTTGGGGGGCATCAAATCACTCAGGGAGACAATGCAGGATCTAGGATAAAATAATTTCCTCACCTCGATAATCAGCACATTCGTGTAATTCGTAAACGTCTTTAACAAACATTTTAATGTGCGTCCAAAACAAAGGATCTAGGCCCCAGAATCGAACAGGAGGAAGAGAAATGACCTGTTCTTTAGCGTCCATAGTAACGGTAATTCAAATTCGACATCTTTGATGAAACTTCCAAGTTATAACTAAAATTTGACAGGCGTTTATTTCCCGCCAATTCCGAGGAGACTGGGAACGATGAATATAGTGGAATGCGGATGCCCAGTCGAATGCCTGCTCGTTTTACGCATTTCACATGTGTTTTACAGCTCATTTACGCTCTCCATAATATAAGCTTATGCGTAGATTTCGTAATTCCTGTGGTGGGACTAATTAACATTTCATAATTATTTTCACAATGACTGAACCGGAATGTTCATTTATCCAAGGCAGTGGAGCAAATAACCCCATAAAATATCAGAGAACGACTTTGAGTATGGATGACGTTCCGGAACTCAAACCAAGACCGATCGATGTGGATTCTGTTCAAGATCAGCAAAAACAACTAGAAACGGCCTTTGCAACGGTACTAGACAATATTGGAGAAGACAAGACTCGCCAAGGCCTCTTAAAAACACCCGCTCGAGCCGCCAAAGCCATGTTGTTTTTTACCAAAGGGTACGAAGAGACGATCGGAGGTACGTGTAATATTTTAATCTTTAATTTAGCTAACATAGACATAGTTGCCCAGAGAGACGACAGAGTCAAACTTTTAGTGTGCTGTTGTTAGATCTTGAATGTCAACGTATTAGAGTTTTGTCAGAACAACATGATATTCCAGTAGATATACATGTAGTTGACTGTACATGTAGTTTTTAAACATTCTGTAGAATTTCCTGGTCAAATTAGATGTTTTAATGCACACATGTTTCAACCTAAGGCTATTTTTACACGGCAGCAGATAAATTTTTGACCTGTTGAAAATTTGTGCGTTAAGGTGTTTCGTTCATACGAAACCACCTTAAGTAACTGTAAGAAATTTTAGACACCTAGTCGTTCAAAGTTCCTTGAGAATAGAATGAAAATATTAAAAGGTCCCTTATGAATGGGGTGTCTGTTAAAATTTTTCTGCTGGTTGAAAATTCATCTGGAACTGTGTGAACGCAGCCAAAGTCATGAGGAAATGTGCTCACAAGGAGTTGAACTGCTCGGTGTAAAATCACAAAGAAACCCTATGATCTTCGTCAGTTTTTAAGATAAATAATGAATTAAAGCTTAACTCCCTGATTCAGTGTTTCTCAGTTTTGTATCTTCTGTTGATTTTTTTAACTGCAACATAAATTTTCTGACCTCCTAAAAACAAAGGAAATGAAAAATACCAGTACTAAAAAGATGTTCATTAGCCATCGGAGATCGGAGAATTCTCTGTTTACTGCTGCACTGAATTCTTCAGCTAATGTTCAGTAGCCTAGGACGGTTTTTTATTGAAATGTGGAGCTGCTTTCAGAATATTCTCTGGTAACATTATATCTTTCTCCTGCTACTACAATTCGTAATGAAAGGACAAGGACATAATCAGTAATCTTACTGGGCATAATGGGATTTTTGGATGAGACAGGAAAGGAAGACAGTCAATTGCGACTTATGGTAGGAGTTTATAAAGTCACTGAAGACGTTTAGCTGCTAAGAAGTGCAAAGTAAAATACTGAAGCATGGAAATGAGTTAGAGACCTGTTTATGAAGTTCTAAAATCAGAATAGAAGGTATGATGTAGAAGCCACAAATTGAGAAGTTTCTTGAAAATCCATTATACCATCATGGTAATGAAACATTATTGTTAGTCCAGGCAGATACTCCAGAAAGTAGTAAAAACAAATTCATGACAACGCAGCAGCCCCGATGTCAAGCTGTCAGAATAAATTGCCAGAAGCTTATTCATAGGACTTGGCCATGGATATTTTAATTTTTCGAGGATTTCGTGAGTTGGATGTAACTCTGAACAAGGGTGTAGTAATAATACAAGTAAACAATACACTGGTAATTTGAATCTATTCATCACATCTTGCTGACAGGCAAAATGCTGATTGTTCTAAATATTTATTTATTAATGGCATAGTATTATTATGTAAATTACATGGTTGTTAATCATCAATTTAAGTTATCAAAGATGTCTTTACTTTCGTCATTTGTCAGAGGAACTTAAAAAGCCCACATTTTTGTTGTTGTGGCATTGTATTTTTATGCCCTTCTCTTTCCATATCTTTTGTTTTGATCTGCCAGGTCAAAGGTGTTAATTGCCTGTATCCATAATAATCTTATTTTCTTCTTTTGTCTTCTATTCATTGTAATCTCTTACCTATTAACTCAAGCTAATGCTAGATAGTTGTGCAGTGAAGTGAATCAAGCACAATATCACATCAGAAACACCTCTGTTCTGTACATTGTATGATTCTTAAAATATTCTTGCATTTCCACAGTTGCGAAACAATGAACATTAAAAAGACACTTGGTTGTCATAGTTGTAATAACAAAATATTTTCACTGAAGTGCTTAGTGGGAAAAAAAAGCAAAGAGGATATTAGTATTTAGTTTCTCTTTGTTTCAAACTAATAAGGCATTAATTTCAACAGTGAGCATTTTTTTCATTTTCTTTGTTGCAAATTTAAACTGAAATATAATGCTTGACTTGGCACAGTGTCATAGCTTGTATGCGGTTTCTTACATGTGTGCATGCATACTAGCATGCTTCATGTGACTTGCTCGTTGATTAAAAAGACTTGTTGAGTTTCCTACACTGAGTATGTGAATGTGTTTAGCAAACAAAGAAAGTGGCAGCTGTTTGGATTAAGGTTCTTTACATGATAACCGTATATGGGCGAGATTTCTTTGAACACTTAAAAACATTTTTTATTATATGACTGCTTCATCAGTGGGCAAGTTGAATGGAATCCTGTGTTCTAGTTTTGCTAGCTATCCTGTAAGATGGGTCTATCTTACCGCTTGGGATTTCCTACTTTCGTTCTGTGAGAAAAAAAAATTTTTTTCTTGTCTCAAAAAAATATTTCCAGCTTGTCCTTTGGGCAAGCATCTCTCACATTTTGCTTGCCCAAGGACACTTATTCCTAATCTTAGTTAATAATTTTGTTAGAGGATGACTTGCTTGGACCCTTGTGCATTGGTCAAGTGTGCTTCAAAAGTTACTTGCCCAACAAGAATATATCTACTTGTCCAGGACTACCAGACAGGACTTTTTTCGAGCCCTGTTGGTCACATACAGTAAGACCCCACAACTAAGAATATAAAGGCTAGTTAGCATAAATTTAGCCTATTTCGGTTCTTAAATAGGTCCTTTTTTTCTGAAGAAAATATACAGTATATATACCTAAGAGTATTTAGTGGTTCAGCTTATATTCCTCATATAAAACCGGCATACCATTACATTGCAGTTGGAGTGATAATTTAAGGCACCTATGCCTCCAAAGAGGATTCTGAATATTGACTTATCTTATTTGCCCAAGTGTACTGAATAGATTTTAGAAAATAAGAACCTGTTAAATTTAATTCTAGACAGGTTCTTATATAGAGGGGGCCTTAACTGGCAAATTTTAGCCTAACAGGTTTGTAAAATCCTGTTTCTTAGTTTGCAGGGTTTCACTATACTAAATTCTTTATTGACCAAGCTTGCACAGTCAAGGTGGCTGGATATTGGCCACTTTCTCTTTCAATTGGTTTTTGCATTTTCAGTGACCTCAAAGAACTTGATCAATGTCCAGGCATGCATCTTGACCTGTTTGAATTGCAAATAAACTAATAGTATTCATTTCCTGTGGTATAGATATTTTAAATGATGCTGTTTTTGATGAAAATCATGACGAGCTAGTTATAGTGAAAGACATTGACATGTTCTCCCTATGTGAGCATCACCTGGTTCCATTTATGGGAAAGGTGAGTAAAATGTGCAGTCCTTCGTCCCTATTTTTTTCGTACTTTAAAATCTGTAATATATACAAGTACGGCACTGTTTATTGTCAAATTTATGTTTAATGCACTTATCCAATTTTTCCGTCAATATAGAAGTGTGGGTAATTCAAGAGGAGCACCTATTTAAAGGGGGTGCTTTTTTGTTCTTCAGAATTTGGACCTCAAGATAACTTTGTCTTGGTTTAAAATGAACTAAACCTGTACCATTTAACAAAAAACTGTAGCAAACATTACAGATTCGGGGGGAAGTATCTTTCAAAAGAAAACCATATTTGTGTTTGTGAAGTACAGTGCATAAATTTGGTTTTCACTTCCTGTCATCATTACATGTAAGTTCTGTCACTATCCTAATCAAGCACCATTGTCAGAGGAGCTGCATCTTGCACCATGTGCTATCCTTAAAATAATGGTTCATTCTTTAGTGATTGTACGTGTAACGTTATTCATTAAAGACTTGGCGGCAATATGTACTATATATTGTGAGTTCATTAAGGCTGCAGGGGAAACCTGTCATTAATTAATTCATTAAGCAAAATTTTGCTCGTGTTGCATCTTTTAAAACACTTATATCTTGATTGTTCTAGAGGTGATTTAGATAAAATAAAATTTATTTTTTTACCGAAACATTAAGGAGTGATGAAATTGTAGGAGGTTTTTTTTATTGGGTAGATTGTGCCTTAAAGCATTCCTTTAAGCCACGTTAGCAGTGGCAGATCCAGGGGAGGGGCCTGGGGGACCTGCCCCCCCTTATTTTTGGACTAAACTGAGGCCCAAAAGGCTGGGAAAAAACTTTTGGAGACCAACCCCCCTATCTATAAGGGTCTGGATGACTGGGCCCACACTTATCTTAACGTCTGGATCCGGCACTGATTAGTGCCAAATTGGGAAAATGTGATTTTGTGTCCAGATTTGCGGATCAAATATATGATAGCATTGTGTAGTTGCATTAGTAAATGATTGGGTCAAAATCTCTAGTGTGTCTGACAGAAGTGGATTCAAACTTTGCCAGCAAGTTATATTGGTTTAAATGAGCAATATCTGTCATCCCTAAATTGATGCCTTTAGAATTTCTCTTCTGTAATGACACACGACAGCCTACCAAGTTTACCCCTCTGCAGGGCCAGCTCTTACAGTTTTGTATGTCTGTGCTGGATTCTTGGACAAAACTCTCCGAGAAGTCAAATTTTGAGGGTTGCTTGACCATTAAAAACACAGGTGCCACACAAGATTTATGCAATATTATGGTTATTGCCTTCCATTTTTTGGTTTTGTTTGTAAGCTGCAAGGTTTCCAAGTTCAGATTTTTGAGGCACAAAATAAAAAGAGTTTTGGTAGTTTGGTTGAAATCTCTACAGATTTCCTTAATAATATTGATTTTCAAATCACTGAAACAAGGTTTACTACCTTTCTTAGCCTGTTTTTACTTTTGAATAAATATTTTGTTTGCTGTCTCTGCACCACATGCAAGTGCACATGAACACTTTAAATTATGCACCCATTTTTATCCACTCATGAATATCTCGTAAAATTGTTGACGTCAGTCATTGTACTTCCTGCATATGCTTTAAAATTTTAGCCCAGTGTGTCCCCCATGGCTTTAAGGAAGGGTGGGCTGGGGGGTGCCTCTTCCAAGAACTTCATCTGTGATGTGAAAATTCTCAGTTTGCACACTGGCAGAAAATTCTGTTAAAGTACTTATCTTGTGGTAATTCAAAGATTTTTTTTGTAAATAATTATGCAAGTAAATAATATTTCAAAATCATGCTTGTCGTTGTAATCTTTACTTTCCTCTTCTATAATTTATAGGTTCATATTGGTTATTTGCCAAACAAAAGAGTAGTTGGATTAAGCAAACTTGCTAGGTAAGCCCTTTTCCAATGAAGATCACAATGTAATGTATACCATATTATTATTTCAATAATATTTTTTATACACAGTCAACTCCCAATAATTTGAACCTTCAAGAGAAATAGAAAAAAGTTCCAGTTATCAGGAGTTCGAGTTCTTGAGGGTACAATTATGTAGAAAATGATCTGAAGGGAAATGTAAATTGCTTCGAGTTAGCAGGAGGTTCGAGTTATATAGGATTTGAGTTACCAGGATTCAACTGTATTATTCTTTTCATTCATCCAGACCTAAGATTAAGGGGGCCCTGGCCTATAGAATGATTTTTCTCGGCTTGCAAGCTTCAGTTTAGCCTAAAATTGGGCATAGGGTCCAGGCTCCCTTGGCCCCTCATTAGATCAGCAGGAGATCTTTACAGTTTTTTAATCAAACAGTTGCCCCAGATGCTCGTTCAAGCATTTATGGTATATTGGACTAGCCAAGAAATTTGCTTTTTGGTATCAGGGTGCAAAGAAAGTCAGTTTTACAGCCTGTCATTCGAGCAAGCTATAGCTAGCATGTACTAGCCCACAAGTCATTTCAACTATCAAAAATCTTTTTGATTAGCACGATTGATTACAATCCTTCTGTAATTTGAATTTCCCAAAAAAACAGCGCCTGCCTGTCAGGCAAGTTACAGTCAAACCAGGTCAAGCGTTCCCGTTGCTAACGAGCTAATGAATTCATTCACGGAAAAATGATTTCGTTTGTTGATTCAATAATCCATTCATAAAATGAACAATCCAATATTCATATTTAGCGTCGATTCCATAATCGAATGTTGATTCGATTACTGTTTTTTGAAAAACTACACTTTCCACAAGTTGACCTCAGAATTTTGTTTTTTCCTCTTTTTTTTCTGAGAGTCGAGTGCTGGCGAGTTCTGAAGTTCAAACCCAAACAAACTGTTACATGTACGCCAGTTTGCTGCCAGTAATCAGTGCAACAGACCTAGGCCTGACCTCTTAGAAAACACAACGGTCAAACTGTGGTCAGTATATGTGCGGTCATTGGTGGATTTCGATCCTCGGCCTTTGTCAGTTTCTTTGTGTTTGCGGTCTGTCTATTCTAGCTGTTATTTTGATTAAAGGCAATGAAAAACGCAATCGTAAACGGCAGGAAAAAGGAAGCAAATAAGATTGAACACAACAGACAAAAATAAAGAACCGGTAGATTTTGTTCATAAACCAAATCAACATTTGATTATTGAATCGAGGTCCAATTTGACTGTTGGATTATTCATTTTATGAATGGATTATTGAATCAACAAACGAAATCATTTTTCCATTAATGAATTCATTAGTTTGTTAGCGACAGGAACGCTTGACCTGGTTTGACTGTAACAACAAAAACCATTAGCTCGATAGCAAAATCCACTAGCTCTTGGCTATTGGACACAACTTTCTTTGCACGCTGCGTATCCTGTAAAATTTTTAGTAGCTACCAGCATAATTTGCAAAGTAAAATCTTTATGACACTGCTGTTAATAGTTGTAAGGCCAAACTGCCACTGCCAAGAAGAAGCTAGTATACCAGACTTGACACATGATGTGCCATTTGTTAGTGACACTGAAAGGTCTTTGATGAGCTTCTTGGTAGAAAAAGACAAATACAATTTTGTCTGGCTGGCAATAAAATTATGAAAATACAATTTTTGTATTTCTGCTTTGTTTGTTTTGTTGCAGGATTGTAGAAATGTTTAGCCGGCGGTTGCAAGGTAAGTTTATAAGCACTTTTTTTTTTTTTTTTTTTTTTAAATATGGCAGAATTGACCAAAATAACAAGTGGTTAATCTTCTCACAGTATTAAACAGTAATGATAATAGTAAATGGCTCTAGGCCAAAATGGCCACCTTGTTTCCTTTTTGGATAAGACGTTTTGCATGGAGCCCATCCTACATTGTATTTTAAACCATCAGGAGTCAAATTTAGGACTTTTATTACATCACTGTACATGGTAACATCAAAAGTAGCTTCAGTAAGTTTGTTCACAATTCTTGTCCAGAGGGGGGGCGGGGGGACGATGATGGGGATATACCTTGAGTCCCATGTGACAGAGATAATGCGATCCTTCTATGCTGAAGACAGAATTCAATTTCAACATCTTTCAATTCAAACAACTACAGCTCTAAGCTGTTTCTGGTAATTGGATGCTTCAAGAGAGGGTAATGCCTGTTTTGGTAAGATCTCTTTTAGGGTCAAATTAAGCCTGAGCCACGTATGCCCTGATTGGTCTCCTTTCATGGTTCAGTTCTGATCAAGAGCCCCCGATTGCTTTCGTACAGGGGTCGACCCCCCCCCCTCCCCCTCATCCTCCTCACATGCAGAAACCTGTGATCACATGTTAGTTTCTTAACAGTTAGTTTGAATTTATTTTAGTGCAAGAGCGTCTAACAAAGCAAATTGCCATGGCTTTATGTGAAGCTGTAAGCCCAGCTGGAGTAGGCGTGGTGATTGAGGCAACGTAAGTTTTTGAAGTCAGATTGTTTAATACTCAAGTAAAATAAAGTTACTCTCAGTTTATTTTTGCTCACAATTAATTGCCCAAAAGTCGTCAATAATATTATTGGTTATAAAATTATTAGCTGATGTATTAGCATACGCTTTGCAGCCAGTTTGAAGTCTGGAGTAATAATGATGATAAAGATAATGATGATGATGGTTTTTTGAAAAAATAGAATGTCACCATGCAAGAGGTATTACTGAATGTTCACTTTGACATCTTACATGCTAAGTGACAATCCTAGATAATTTATACGTAAGTAAAACATCCAAACAACCTACAGGTGACCGGCAAAGGATTAAGTATGATATAATGACAAAATTACAAAAGTTAATAAAAAGTTCACTGTCCCACTACTTTGCATTGGTGGACATAGTTGGAAAAATGCTCCTCCTGAGTCTATCACAGTTCTTCATTAATTATGTCAGAAGTTTTTGCTATTGTATCATATCATATTGTATCATGGTTAGGGGAGGGTAGAATACAAACAGGAAGATTGCCCAGAAATTATTGTGGTTAATGTCTTCAAGCACGTATCATCTCACCTGGTATTGAGGTGCCAGAGAGCTGTAACAGCAAAAGTTTCAATGACAATAAGAAAGTTCAGGATACAAAATTCTAGTGCAGGCTATTGAATTTTCTTGATCTTGTTGGATGGTAGCCAGAAATACCGGTACTCTGTCAAACAGGACCAGAGTACTCAAGAATCAAGCAGATGAGGGAAATATTATAGATGATGATCAGGTAGCTGTGAAGGACACCAGAGTGAGAAACGTGGGGGATGTACAGTCTTCTAGATGGTTTCTTATGAACCGAGTCTGTATGGTAGTTCCACTAAAGATTTTCCTTGACTATCACCCCAAGAACTTTAGAGAATCTTATCCACTAAAGAGGACAGTTATTAGTCTTGGAGAGTCCCGAAGGAGAACTTTTTCAGGTTAAACTCCATGCTATTAGTGCGTGCTTAGTTCGGAAATAACATTTGAATGATCTTGGATTGCTGAGAGGAGTTCACTCCTAGAAATGGATTGCAAGACACTGTGATATCATCAACATACATCCAGTGCCTTAAGTAGTGTTAAGTAAAAATATGGGGCCAAATTTCCTACCCTTCATTATGCCAGCTATATAACAGAGCCAAGTTAGACATAGAAATTTGTCTACCTACATGGTGTGACTTCTGTCAGAAAACTACAGATCAATCCAAGCTATGGAAACCTTTGGAAACCAAGCGAGGCAAGCTTCTGGATGACAATATTATAATCGTTATGATCAAACACTTTGCTGAAGCCAAGCAAGTTGACAAGGTGTAATTCTGCATGATGGAGCCAGTAAACTATGCACCATGTCAAGTGAACAAAAAGAGGTCAACTTCCTTTTCAGACAGACCAACTGCTGAGTATTAAACTTGTTACCAACCTGAACAATAATCCAACAAAACACTGTCCAAGTCAGAGTCTTCAAAGACTTTAGTGAGACAGGAAATAAACAGCAATGGTCAGAAGTCTCCTTTGAGCCCATTTAAGCTTTTGGAATTTGAATAATTGCCAAAACCTTTCACACCCTCGGCATAACTCCCAAAGTTAAAGTTAAAAGAATGTCTGAAAGGTGATGTATGCAGCACCCCTTGTGTCACAGACCAATTCTCAAGTTACTGCCACACAAAGAACAGATTGAATAACAAGGGGAAAAAACACTGCTCTTTCACCCTTCCGTGGAACAATGTTTGTTTCAAGATTTCTATCAATAGATAGTTTTGCCATAGGTGACTTTCAGAGCTGATAGACCAACTCTCTTTATGAGCGGATAGACAGCAAACATGCCAGTGAGAATTTGTGATAGAATACTGACAACTAAAATTGTATCTTAATTTCAGGAACTAATAGATGTTACTAAATACCCGTTTTTTTTAAAAAAAAACACTTTGCCAGACATTGTATTGTAAACGTTCTGATTAATAAAGCTATTTCTTTTGATTATTAGGCACATGTGTATGGTGATGCGTGGAGTACAAAAGCCTAGCAGTAAGACTGTCACCAGTTGTATGCTGGGAGCTCTGAGAGAGGATCCTAGATCACGTGAAGAGTTTCTCACTCTGATCAGAGATGGTGGCAGATAATTTAGTAGACAGAGAGTTGGGAAACTAGGAATATTCTCCGTTTTTACATAGACCATAATGCACTTTGTTTACCCCCAAGAATTTTGCATAACCATTCTTTTCCAATTTTTCCTGGGAATTACAGTCATCCCAAGATAAATCAAAGACAATGATTATGCAAAATTTTTGCATTTGAACAAGTGCATTATGGTATATGCAAAAAAGGTGAATGGGCCATTTGCATTATGACGTCTTTTTACTACCAAGACCAGAATTCACTTTGTTTTTTCTTTCATATTTGAATTTGGTAATCCCAGTGAGGCCGTTAGATAACAAAAGCCCTAACTTGCACAAGAAAGAAAAATCCTGAAGGATTCTGGTAGTATTAGTAAAGGACGCCATTGTGTAAATGGGCTATAGGACAATAAATTGTTATTGCACCGTGACATCATTTTACTACAACTACCAGATTCTTTTGTTTGTTGTTTTCTTGTGCAAATCAATAAGGCTGTTGTTTTTGGCTCTCAGCTCTCAGTGAGATTGACAATTTTGAATAGGAAAGCAAGCATGAAATGAACTCTGGTAGTTGTAGTCTAATGTCGTCATCGTGAAAATGGACTATTGAGTTCTTCAGGCAATATTGTAATCTTATTTATTTATTTATTTTCAAGGAAAAATAAGAATTGGGGAAATTGCGCCTTTCGCATGGTATAATGATATTATAAATTGCTGTTTTCTATTTTTCAGCAACAAAAACAGTAGTTATAATAAGACTGAATATTTTACAAATCATTCATACTGCAGTATACAGATTAAGGTATTTTAAAATATTTTCTCTTAATGCAACAGCGCTCATTTGAAACTTCTTGAAACCAGTTAAAGTATGTTGAGCAATATTAAGTAATATTGGAACATATTTATTGGAGAGATATATGTTATCTGAACAACTTTTTCTGTTTTCTTAAAAAATGATGTATTTTGCTTTTTGCACTCCTATATTTACGACTGAAATTCCATAGATAGGCTATGAAATTAATTTGTTATAATTAATACAATCATTTGCGTGAGAAAAGCTCATTAGAGTCAGGGGCACCCAACCACTGTTTTCTGTAAAATATCTTTTCGGAGGAGAAAAATTGCCTAGAATTTTCTATAGCTTGAGTAAGGCTAAAAAGTTCTAGATGGCCTTTCCATTTATGTAAAATTATCGAAGCTTCTCTAATAAATTCCCTACGATTTTCGAAAGCCGGTTCAACTTTTACTAATTTCACTCCCCAGGTTAAACTATTTTTCTTAGAAAAAGGAAACCTAACATTTTCGGATTCGGAAATGCAATGAAGAGAGGAATCGGGAAAATCCTCACTTTCGTAAAGCTTTAAATTGCATCTAGAATTTTCGGGAAAATAGTACTGAAGCCCTTGTAGTTTCGAAAAGACTCAAGTTACCATAGGAAGACCGAACAGATACAAATTTCGTAGCGCCACTTAGATTGCATTTCTAGAGATCTAAAAGTCAGAAAATTGCTCTGGATAGCATAAAAAGTGTTTTAAATGCATTTAGGAGGAAACCGTCGTTGGGTGCCCCTGTAGAATCGCTGATCAGCAATTAGTTTTAAAAAATTATTAAAAAATGTTTTTAATATAATATGTATGTCACGAGCACAGAATTAATTCGAATCTCCTTTTGCTTTTATGATGTTTATCATTTCATCTCTAATAGATAATATTTTTTTTCGGGAATTAAAGACGACAGTTTTCATGTAACTCGTGGCTTAGCTAAACGTGTATGTAGTAATCGGACAAACGTCCATAGAACAAAACTCTCCCGCCAAACAAAAATAATATTAATTCACCTTCAAAAGCAACATCCCACTAGGATAAAAAACGGCTTAGCTAAACGTCTGAAAATTACAGTTTTGTCGTTCAGTTAGTTGGAATAATGTTACCCTATTTTGTGGCTTCATTGCCGCGTGAAACGCTCCGAGAGTATAAGAGTATTTTTTGAACCTGTGACCAATTTCTTCTTTGTTTGTGCTACTTCAAATAAAGGCTGTTTAGCTTTATTTTTTTATGGTGTTGTGTTGAGGTATGTAAAGACTGAGGGACAGCAAACACTGTAGTTGAGGTAAAAATTCCACTCGCAAGGTGTTTCTTGGGCGAATGATCCGAGTGGTACGTTTCTTTTTCTCTTTTTTTCTCTTTCTTCCTTCTTGTTCTTCCTATGTTTCCGCTTAGGTCGCGAAAATACCGCATTTCGCTGTCACTATTTAATTTCGCAATTTTTAGGTAAAAAGGAACAAAAACTGTTCTTTCAGTTGTTGGCTATCGGCAAAGTTCTTGTGTAAATGGGTTAAAGTACAAAATAAGTAGAAGATGTTTTGCAAGATTTGGAAGAAGCGTAGTTTACAAAAATCAGAAAAATATTCCGAAGCAAAGGAATTGAATATCACTGAACAATCCATCGAAGGATTGACCCTTTTAACAAAAACTAAACATTAAAGCCAGCAAGTCCATAGCTTGCAACTACTCAAAAATGTGTAACGCGTTTCTAAAACAATGTTTACTTACGTCTACTGAACTATGCTTTTAGCGAGAGGTTATTTGCGACTATTTGAATTCGGTTCGCCTCGAGGGATATTTCGCGTACCCACGTTTAACCTTAGATCGGGCTCTATTTCCGTTTCGCGTTAAAATTTCTGCCTCCAAGGCAGTTCGACCACGTATATGAAGACAACGTTTGAGAGCTGCGAAAATTGCGCCTGATATCAGAGGTTTTCCCACGTTAGTCTCTGGCTCTTCTCTCTCTGCAATTAAAAAAAGAAAAAAAAGTTTAGATGTACTCTTATGTTGGAAATTTTGTTATTACAGCTGTATACGTAACAAGATTGGTCAGGAAAAAAATCACTAAAGGATGAGGAGAAATTATGGAACTGAAATCTCGCCAGATGCGTCGGAGCACTTAACTTTAATCAGTTTACCCTTTGTCCTTTTTATGTGCTCATAAATAGACCATGTTTAATTTTAGACACCTAATATTTAAAATATTGAATTCAAATTGAAAATAAACCTATAAAGAAAAAAAAAACATGTTTCTTTTTCTGACAGCTTTATCAAGGTACAACGAATAACAAAAAAGTGTTTAAGTTCTATGAGAGCTGCTACAATTTGGGCTACTCTCGGGTTATAGCTTCAAAGTCGCGTTTTTTCCGTAAAATTAAGAGCGAAAGTTGCTAATTTTCCTGAGGAACGTACTGCTCCATCTTACTGAAAAAAGCTAAAAAAAAACATATTTTGTCCTAATTTTTGTAAACTAAAACCGGATTTATTGTCAGTGGTAATCTCCAAGAGACGTCTAAAGTAAGGTACTATTTCTTTTCTTTTTTATACAGTTAGAAAATATTTTCATTCCTTCTTGTGGGTAATGCTACAAGGTATAAGTGTACCAAGTACTATCCAATCTACAGTTTAAAATGTAGGGAAAGACTTTCAAGATTATCTGTTGGGTTTTTTACATAATGTTATTTCTTAAATTATTCGTGGTTTGGCTAAATTCTGGCCTGATATCAAACTGTTCAGACAGTAGTAAGTGAAAATTCAAAGCCGGCGTCATAGGCCTTGCGTTTTTTGGGTGTTATATGATTGTCTTCCCGGTATCCCTCAAAGATAAATGGTTATCAATTTTTGTTATGATGTATAATTTGTGAACAGAAAAAGCTATGGATTGCAAATCTGATGATTAAGCGCCTAAAATAGAAAAAATAAAGAAAATCGGTAGGGAATCGTGTGGGCGAGCAATTATGTGCTTCTGACTCCCACAAATAAAGGGAAAAATCCTTACAAACTACGTGAGGGAAGGAGTTCACGCGGAAACAAGGGTTCTTGCCAAGAATGCTTCACCCTGCAATTATTAAAACGATCAAGCGTGTTCTGTTTGCTTGATCAACATTACGACCTACAATGAGTTGCTGTATTCGGGGTCCATCTTCTTTTATCACAAAAGGAAGCACTTGATAATATGCAAGCATGACGTCAATCATACGTCAATGTGACGTCATTGCTCTTCTGGACACAATAACTTGGCACTTCTTTTGAGAAATGGCGAAAAAATGACACGGAACTTATGAGAGGACATTTGATGTCAGTATTTCCCGCATTGACATCCACTTGGACGAATGCACCAAGAGATGAAAATTCAGCCAAATGAGCGGTAAGCGTATTATATTTACAAAAAAAAATCCAGTGATTTTTATCGAGGATTTAACTCCGTGAATTGAAGGTATCATTGCGACTTGAAAGTTATCATTCTTATTATGATAACAGATATTTTAAACATATATCACAAGCCTATATTTACGATAATTACTGATATAAGCATACTCGACAAATCTACAGTGATATTTGCAATGTTTTAAAATAATGTTTCTTAATTATCATAGTACTTTAGAAACTTCAAAATACAGCTATGAGCAAAAATTGAATTTTTTAAAATAATAATAAAATAGCCTATTTTGCGGAGTTTTCCGCCAAAGTTTGACTGATTTAGTTTTGCATCTGCACGTTCTTGACAAATTCGAGGCACGAAATTGTGGGCAATAATTTTTTAATCATACCTCAAAAATTAAAAGAAAACTTTCCCGTGACGACGTTAGTTTAATTCAATTGTTCCTCAGTTTTAGAGAATTCGAGAATATTTGGATAGTTTAGCCGAGTTCACGTCGGCATTTGAAGATGGCTGTGGGCAGCTGGCAGGTGGTTCTAAACTGACTAGATTTATGTTCACGTTTAATATCATAAACAACTATAAGCGAAAAAATCTTAGCTTAAATGCTTTTCATTCAAGTTCAATAACAGATTGCGCTCGAGTAGCCGAAAGGAAAAATTCAATATCGTATCACATCACGGTAAACCGGACAATTAACACCCCCACTAAAACGTGGAAAGTGTTTTAAAACGAAGTTTTGCCATCAGTTGGTTTACTTAACTGTTGTGAAGGACTGCTTTTTCAGTTGTTACAAAGTTCAA